AGCTATGTATAAAGCCAAACTTACCCGACGCCAAGCTTACTCGACGACCTCCTCCCAGCTCGGCACCAACCAGACAAGGCTCTTCTGTGTCTTTATAGTATCATTCTCACACAAGTCATTTGCTGAAGGCCCTAGCCTATACTACGCCATCTACTGGTATAATGTCATTTTCGATTGCTGTTCTAAAACAAGCTAAGACTTTTATTTTGGAAATGAAACCAGAAGCTGCAAAGCAACTAACGTCTTGGCTAGAGTTGCTTGATTGAAGGGGGGAGTGCGTTTGGAAGGAGTAAGATGGCGGAAGTGGATGCCGAGTTTGAATTAAGCAGCGCGTCGAGTAAATTTGTTGAAGATGAATGTTCTGAATGGACAACAGTAGTATCGAAAACTGGAACAAAAAGGAAATTGTCTAAAATTGGAGTGGCGGATACGTGTGTAAATGATAATGTATCGCTTCTTGTTGGGATGTGTGTGTTGAGTAAGGATGCATATGTGGGAAACCTGTTTGAGATGTCGAAAACGGTGAAGTATGCGCTTGGAAAAGTGGAGTCTGTCAGAGTGACCAGGAGTGGTCTTCTTTTGATTAATTGTATTTCTGAAGAGCAGAGGAAGATTGCAGTGGGCCTCAAAAGAATCCGGACAACAGAAGTTTTGTGTTTTGAACTTCGGAGTAGAGCACCAGTGAAAGGAGTCATCTCAGGGGTGAAGACGGATGTTCAGGTTGAATACCTGAAAATAATTCCTGGTGTGGTTGGTGCTCGGCGTCTGTACCGCTGGGTGAATGGAGAAAAATAAGAAAGTCTGTCGGTCCTGTTGTTTTTTGATAAAGAGCAAATACCAACGCATGTGAAGCTTGGTTATGTAAGATACGCTGTAAGAGCTTTCGTCCCCAAACCACTGCAATGGAAGCATTTTAACGGATTTGGCCATGTTTCAAGTGTGTGCAGACAAACAGAGTATACTGAAGAACAATGTGTAGAAGGACGACGGTTTTGCAATGGTGGTGGGGATCATGAACCTGAGTTCCTGGAGTGCCCTGTAAGGGTGAAGGAAATTGAGGTGGCAAAAGTTAGAGCGGTCAATCAAATCTCCTATGCGGAGGCGATTTAAAATAATTGAGAAAACAAGTGATGCTAGTGAAGAGATGGTAGTGGATACACCACAGCCTGTAGTAAATGTTTGCTGCCAGACAAAATATACCTTGTGTGTTAAAAAGGTGGATTTTGTTGCATTCATTGCCACGGTTATAAACTGTACAGCACAAGTTTCAAAGAAGTCGAAGAAACTGGACATTATTGTGGCTGCGGCAGAAACGTTTTTGGAACTGGCGCCGGAAGAACCACCCTCCCAGGTTCCCCCTTGAGCCTGCGTAGGGATCAGATCTTTTTTATGTATGTATTTTTAACAGAAAAGTTGTTTGATTTAGTTTATTTTACTTATTTATTTTTTGGTCGTTTTTGGAATCCTGTTTCCATCCCGCATAGTAGGTGGCGGGATGCACATTAAATTGTGTGATCGCCAATATAACTTAGAAGAAGAAGAAGAGTTGCTTGATTGACTAGCTAACTTCGACAAGCTACGTTCGGTTCATGTCCTTTGCAGATGCCACATTCCTGACAAAAGTTTATACGTATAAAAAATATCTGTAACCGAGTAAAGGGAGACGTAAAGTAAGAATTGAACGTGTAAATGTTCATTCATAGTCATAACATAGGGTTTGTACAGTTACAGATCTAATTTAACGGTTACGTTCAATGTTTCACGCATGGCTTTTCTTACAATCCTAACGATATGTACATTCAACCTTTTGGCAGCTATCTGGCTCCATAAAAAGATGCGAGAAACTCTCGAAGTAGACTACGGAAAATAGTTTCCTATGTTGCAAAAATACTGAATCTTTGGAGTCGATTCTGCTAGCTTGACACCCAGAAATGGGAGTCGACGGGCAAGGAGTCGAGGAATCTATTATTTTGGAGTCGACTCCCCACCACGAAATGTGTGCCCACAAACTGGAATAGTCTCGGGGCTTGATAATGGAGGGCTGGCAGAAGGGGCAATGATACAATTAGCACTGGGATAAAACCATGCGGCCATCAGCAGCTTTAAAAACAGTGACATGCTGTCAAACAAACATGAATGAAAAATAGATTACTAAGTTAGCTAACTAGCTAATTAGATGAGTTGATAACGTTAGTTAACAGTCGCTCACAGCAAACAGAACTCTAAGTGAAGATAGCTAACTTTAACAGGCTAGGTTAGCTAACGTTAGCTTGGTAGATTATAGCCACGTTAATGTTAGACAACAATAAAAAAACTAGTGTACATCTATGAAGAACTTAGGCAGCTACACCATAGACACAGCTCAAAGTGAATGGCAAGACGTTAGCCTAACTGAAATTCCTTACTGTCATCTCTGCCGAGTACGACCAAGACCACACTCGGAAAGTTTGAAAACACAGCAGCCACGCAAAACGGTCTTGAGTGGCAACAAATCTGCCCATTAGCTGATTCGCTTTCCATACACCCACTTCTGTTGATCCTCCCACTTCTGTTGATACGCCCACTTCCAGAGATATTCCATGTATGCAGTTACCCATGACTCCAAAAAGCCCTTAACCTCTACGGGATTGGCGTCCCTTATATGGGACGGTTGTTGCTCAATATGCGATATGTGACTAGAATGGTGTTGTAAACAACAGCCAACTCTCTGGGACATAGACATGTCTTATATGGGCAGAAAGCTTACATTCTTGTTAATCTAACTGCACTGTCCAATTTACAGTAGCTATTACAATGACAAAATACCATGCTATTGTTTGAGGATAGCGCACAACAACAAAACACTTGTATCACGGCAACTGTTTTGATATATTCACCTCTGAAGGTAAATAATGTACTTACATTCAGTAATCTTGCTCTGATTTGTCATCCTGAGGGTCCCAGAGATAAAATGTAGTGTAGTTTTGTTTGAAAAATCAATTGTTATATTCAAATGTAGGAACTGGGTTCTACAGTTTGACCTCTGACTCCACACCCACCCCGCCCGTCCATCTAGATGTGAGAAGGTTAATGTATTTTCTGTAGGGAAGCTAATGATCCATAATTTATGACATTCCTAGAAGTGTGCAAACTTAAATGTTGTATTACCATAGCATTTTTGTATGTTCTCTATAGTTATGTACTGTACTTGAAAACCAATTCGGCACATTTGGGAATACTCTTGGCAGACTTGATAGAAAATATTGTGTAGTGATGTAATTCTTCACTGGATCAGTCTGAAACGATGCACACACACTGCTGCCATCTGGTGGACAACATCTAAATCACATCTAGAATCCTACATCACTGCTGGCCTTTCTCTTGCACTTCAAAGATGACGCAAACACCCCTCACCCCCCCCCCCCCCCCCCCAAAAAAAGCATGTTTTTTTGTTTGTATTATCTTTTACCAGATCTAATGTGTTATATTCTCCTACATTAATTTCACATTTCCACAAACTTCAAAGTGTTTCCTTTCAAATGATATCAATAATATGCATATCCTTGCTTCAGGTCCTGAGCTACAGGCAGTTAGATTTGGGTATTATCATTTTAGTCGAAAATTGAAAAAAAAGGGTCCGATCCTTAAGAGGTTAACCTTATGCACACTAGAGGGCAATGCAACACAGTTAAATACGCTGCCTATTGACGTAGCCTTAACTCAATATAATATGAGTCTGTCTGCATCTGTTGTTTGATCTGACTCACGGTTAACGTTTCCCTGACAAACGGTGAGATAAGGACAACACTGAACTACATAGACATCAGTGCAAAGTATGGACCAAGTTTGATCTTTAATCTCGACAGGGAAAAAAATACATTGTGTTTTGAAGCCATTTCATGGAAAAAAGTATTTACACGTTATCAAGAGGAGTCAAACTCTTTACATAGACCGACAGCACATCAGTAAACAACAAAAGAGACCAGCGTTAAGGATTTGAAGCACTTCTTACCAAAAAACAAGGTGTTCTGATATCCAAACTATTCAGATAAATATATTTATAATATTTATATATATTTACAGAATACCTTAAATATACAACGTCCTCCATGTATTCTATAAACATATCATCATAAGTTATTTAGGCACACATTTTCTTTTAGAACAATCATTGGGGGGTATCAGTTTCAATGCCATCCTTTCGCTGTTTGCACTATATTGTACTTACACCAAAGAAATGTGGTCAGTATAGCATCATTGTCAACAAGTACGTCATCCAAAGTGCCTACACTGCTACTAACTCAGTACTCTGGGCCAGCGGTGAGGTCATTATGTACACAGCCTGTTGGGGGGGGGGGGGGGGGGGGGGGGTTGGTTATCTCACATCTCCAAGAGACATACTGTGGACAGAAGGTCCAGTCCCAAACTGATCCCTCACTGGTCCATAGCCTATGACCCTTGTTGACTCTCCCTAGCAGAGCCTAGCATCAAGTTCGGGGTAAGTCCATTTCAATTCAATCAATTCAGAAAGTAAATTCAAAATCAATTAATTTTTTCATAGAGAAGCAATAAAGACAATTTTCATTTCAGTTTACTTACTGAATTGACATAATTGAATTCACCCCCACCCTGCCTAGCACTATAGTAGGCTTGGTGGAGTTTGATTCCACCTTATTGCTTACACTAATACCGTCCTGTTCTGTCCACTAGGGAGAGTCAACAACGTCTCCAGGACTGGGAGCTAGAGAGGATATATTTGGGACTGAGCCAAGGAGCGACTGGGTGGGGAAGTCAAAAGGAGATCGTATGTAGAGTGGACACACCTTTTTAATAATTCTCAGGGCAAAAGGGGACGATGACAACATGAAGGGGAGCAGCTACGATAACTACAAAGAATATACAGATACACTACAAATTAAAATATGCAGATGATGATTCTCATGACTAAACGCACGCAGAAAAGAGATTGGTTGGCCAGCCAGTAGGGCGGGAAGACCATAGACATCGCCCTACAAGTCGCTCTATAAGTCTGACTCGGGCATGTCTGGCATGTCAGCCATCAGGTAGCCGATGCCGTAGCGGCCATTGGGCGCAGCATCGGGGACCCCTCCATTCTGCTTACGATAGATGCTGTTGCCAGGCATGGGCGAGGGCGCTTCACTGCCGGGCGACTTGGCGTGGATGAGGCTGGCATCGTCGTCCTCCTCGGGCCTGGCGCTCTCCTTGATGATGCGGCCCTTCTTGTAGGAGATGGTGGACACCACGCCAGCGTTCTCGTCGATGATGTTGAAGTAGCGGAGGAAGAAGACCACGGGCACGGGCATGATGGCCATCACCACCAGGGAGATGCAGACCGCCAGGCCCCACGGAGGATAGCTAAGGGACTTCTCACTGGCCTAGGAGAGACAGGGAGGGAGTGAGAGGTTAGAACTGTATAGTATTCCTGCTACTAATGCTACTACTACTGTATATCACTATAGCTCAGAGACTTCTCACTGGCCTCATACACACGGGGAGGGAGGGAGAGCAAGAGGTTACTACTGTATATTACTTCTCACTGGCCTGAAACTGATACTAACACTAAAACCAAGTTGGGCCCATGTGACAATAGGTTGCATCTTAAATCACTTTTAAGTGTAAAGTCCTCTAGTCTAAGTTAAGTCCTCTCCTCCATCTGTGCTGATCTCATAATCCAAGAGGATTGGTGAAGCTATTATGGCAGAGGGCTATCAAGTAACCATCCAGGTTTCCAGGTATTTTACAATTAGTGTGGATAAAGGAAAAAAGGCAAGTACAGGAGGCAATTTGGACTATAGAAAAAGTTAACAGAGCTCTTGATGTGTAGTTGAATTGGGTGTTTTGGTACGGGAGTGTAACAAAAGCCTGTGTATCCCATTAATTGAACCGAAGGTAAACTGAACTAAAATACTGTATTTGACAGTTGCAACAGAGACCACAGATACCACAGATGACTCACCAGGTCCTCTATCCAGGCACTGTAGCTGGGTGGGGTCATTCCCAGCTGGATCACACTGGAGCCCAGCAGCAGGATGAGCAGCAGGGGGGTCACGTACTTCCACATGTAGTAGTAGAACCGGAACGGAGTGAAGCCCAGCATGTCCTTCAGGTCCTCAAAGAACCTGGGCGGAGGAACAAGGGAGAAGCAGGGACAGGATCCCACAGAAGGTGAGGATACATAATGGTACACACTTTAGACTGTGTTGAGTTTGGCAATTATGTTTAACATACAGTACCTGTACAATATACCAGAGGTGATAGCAGGTAATATTAAAGTTAAGTGGTATTATTTCATGATAACTTTTCATGGTTAACTAATTCTGAATACTGAATTTAAATAATATTTGTCATTGTATTTGGATGGACAGCTTTGAATTTGGAATTATATTGGAGAAAACCACAGATTACTGACATTCTGTATATAATTTGACATGTACATACTTGTCAGTCCCGTAGACCCAAGCAACAGCCACATTCTCCAGGATGACCACTATGAGCAGGGGCAGCGTGGCGGAGTAGTCATCAAACATGGCCACCCAGTAGTTCCCAGATCGTTGGACGAACAGCAGGCCAATGAAGAAGGCTAGCAGACAGACACCCACTGTTACAGGAGGGAGAATACATGGACATTAGTAAAAAGGGACAAGGGGGAGAAATGCCATCTGGGTCATTCTTGAATTACGGTGGCATTTGGGCATGGCATTTTGGAAGAAAATATGTTATTTTAACTTCCCATTCTACATCAACTACTATGGTAGCTTAATGACTTGAAATCATTTGTACCATTATGATAACATTGTACCACCAGTAGGAGTAGTAACACCAATGACGGTAACACCAATGATACATTTTAGGTACATTTTCTGAAATGGAGGCCACAAATTCTAAAATCTAAGGTCATCAATCCTTTAAAAATAATTTACTCAATTAATATGATTAATTATGTTACTCACAATGTTATTTCCCTTCATTAAAATGTTCTAACACCAAGTGACACTTTGGATGGCAACTGCTCGGCCTCCGACCGCAAGGCACTACAGAGTGTAGTGCGTACGGCCCAGTACATCACTGTGGCCAAGCCTCCTGCCATCCAGGGACCTCTATACCAGGCGGTGTCAGAGGAAGGCCCTAAAAATTGTCAAAGACTCCAGCCACCCTAGTCATAGACTGTTCTCTCTGCTACCGCACGGCAAGCGGTACCGGAGCGCCAAGTCTAGGTCTAAGAGGCTTCTAAACAGCTTCTACCCCCAAGCCATAAGACTCCTGAACATCTAATCAAATGGCTACCCAGACTATTTGCATTGTCATTGCAGGCAATCTCAAAACTGTGCATTATAGGGAAGACATCCTCCTCCCTTGTGTGGTACCCTTCCTGCAGGCTCATCCTGACATGACCCTCCAGCATGACAATGCCACCAGCCATACTGCTCATTCTGTGCGTGATTTCCTGCAATCCCATTGAGCACGTCTGGGACCTGTTGGATCGGAGGGTGAGGGCTAGGGCCATTCCCCCCAGAAATGTCTGGGAACTTGTAGGTGCCTTGGTGGAAGAGTGGGGTAACATCTCACAGCAAGAACGGACAAATCTGGTGCAGTCCATGAGGAGGAGATGCACTGCAGTACTTAATGCAGCTGTTGGCCACACCAGATACTGACAATTACTTTTGATTTTGACCCCCCCTTTGTTCAGGGACACATTATTCAATTTCTGTTAGTCACATGTCTGTGGAACTTGTTCAGTTTATGTCTCAGTTTTTGAATCTTGTTATGTTCATCCAAATATTTACACATGTTAAGTTTGCTGAAAATAAACGCAGTTGACAGTGAGAGGACGTTTATTTTTTTGCTGAGTTTACATTTACATATTACCTCGACTAACCGGTGCCCGTACCCCCTGTATATAGCCTCGCTATTGTTATTTTTACTGCTGCTCTTTAATGATTTGTTACTTTTATTTCGTATTATTTTATATTGTAATTTTTTCTGTAATTATTTTGGTATTCTTTCTTAAAACTGCATTGTTGGTTAAGGTCTACACCTGTTGTATTCGGCGCATGTGACAAATACAATTTGATTTGATTTGATTCTTTGATTCCTTAATAACAAACTTGTATGCCATCTGTAAATACAAATAATATTGTTAAATTACTAGCCTAGTTTGTTTAGCCACAGAAAAAGACAGGAACCTTCCCGCTAGCCATGATTGGCTAACATAATGGATGGGCTGGACGCGAGATGAGTTCAGATTGGTCTGCCATGTAGCATGCTTGTGTCTATAACATGAGCTGCTCAGTACTACCACGGCTTTTTTGAAAGATATCATGACGAACTGCAAAAGTGTTGCTACTGCTCTCAATATTGCTGCCCTAAATTTAACAGGTGCTATCGACAAGGATCAGTGGGAAAAAGTTGTGATGGACTACTTACTACTCTTTGACTCTACAAATGAATCAGATGATGTTGAAATCCCTGATTTTTGTCAAAACATTTTCATTGAACAAGACATCGTAGAGTCTTCTGATGACAGTGATGGGGAAGAAACGGCGATCAACAGTGTTGTTGTCATGGAAGAAGTTGACCGAGTTTTGAAATCAGTGGAACGCCCGGTGGAAGCAGAGTATGATTGAAAATGCGCAGGGAGTCGAAAAGAGAACACAGAAGGCTGTTGTATAAAACACCTGTCTCCGGATTACATTTTCAAACTAAGGGCAACCATGGCATCCATGACAGAGAGGGAGAAGCGTTCATCCATGTATACCGGTAAGAGTCTCGATACATTTTCAGATATTTTACGTTTCTAATTTTGTCAGAAAGTTGTTTTCATTGCAAGTATGGTGCAGGTGGTGGGTCACATACGTTTACTTATTAAATAACAGTTAAATAAAACGGAACATGTCTTATTTGTTCTGTTTTTGTCATTTTAAAGTTTTTTTTTTTTTTTTTACATGGTACCAAAGACAAGGGACAGGATTTACCACCGCAATTCAAGAATGACCCATCCTCATTAACAGAATTCATGCACAATATTGATCAACATGTGGCTGCAACTAAGTGCAACATAATTATGAAATTATCTTTGGTGCCACACATCTACTGTGCATTAGATTAGTATTATGCAATATTGAGCCAGAAGCATTAAAGCAAAAAGCCATAATACATCATACACGTAGGTAATACTTAATTGACCTGTTACTATAGCAAACACACATCAATAGAGTTCAGCTGAGGATACATTGTGGAAAAATGTCTACCTCCACACACTGACACAGGCTTTCTCTCTTAATTTTTGCTCAATTACTCGCATCTTCTCTGCTTGCGTCCTCCTTCACAATGCATTGAAGAAGGTCCGATGGGGACCTTGGACCTTCTCCAATACGATTGAGAAGGAACGAGGAGATAAGATGAGAGGAATCATGGAAAGGTGAATTGAGATATAATGAGCCATATATTCCTCCATCCCCTGTCTCGGACTGACCTGTGAGGAACTCTTTGCGGACTTTGAAGGTGTCGACCAAAGGTGTGATGATGCCCTCGATGGTTCCGAACATGCTGCCCAGGCCCAGGTTAACCAGCATCAGGAAGAACATGACGGACCAGAAGGGAGATGCCGGAAAGTGGGTCATGGCCTCTGTGAAGGCAATGAAGGCCAGGCCTGTACCTTGCACTGCCTGAGGAGGAGGAGGAGGACAGGGAGGAGGAGGAAGACAGGGAAGAAGAAGAAGAAGAAGAAGAAGAAGAAGGTTTTATGTAAGTAAGTCAGTAATATCCACTTCTAGTAAGAACATTTTCCTTAAGGTTTCTAATAATTGGAAAGTCAAATCTTGACGTGTACAGCCGTGGTAAAACGTTTTGAGAATGACACAAGTATTGGTCTTCACAAAGTTCGCTGCTTCAGTGTTATGAGATATTTTTGTCAGATGTTACTATGGTATACTGAAGTATAATTACAAGCATTCCATAAGTGTCAAAGGCTTTTATTGACAATTACATTAAGTTTATGCAAAGAGTCAATATTTGCAGTGTTGACCCTTCTTTTTCAAGACCTCTGCAATCCGCCCTGGCATGCTGTCAATTAACTTCTGGGCCACATCCTGACTGATGGCAGCCCATTCTTGCATAATCAATGTTTGGAGTTTGTCAGAATTTGTGGGTTTTTGTTTGTCCACCCGCCTCTTGAGGATCGATGGGATTAAGGTCTGGGGAGATCCTGGCCATGGACCCAAAATGTCAATGTTTTGTTCCCCGAGCCACTTAGTTATCACTTTTGTCTTATGGCAAGGTGCTCCATCATGCTGGAAAAGGCATTGGTCGTCACAAACTGTTCTTGGATGGTTGGGAGAAGTTGCTCTCGGAGGATGTGTTGGTACCATTCTTTATTCATGGCTGTGTACTTAGGCAAAATTGTGAGTGAGCCCACTCCCTTGGCTGAGTAGCAACCCCACACATGAATGGTCTCAGGATGCTTTACTGTTGGAATGACACAGGACTGATGGTTGCGCTCACCTTGTCTTCTCCGGACAAGGTGTTTTCTGGATGCCCCAAACAATCGGAAAGGGGATTCATCAGAGAAAATGACTTTACCCCAGTCCTCAGCAGTCCAAATCCCTGTACCTTTTGCAGAATATCAGTCTCTCCCTGATGTTTTACCTGGAGAGAAGTGGCTTCTTTGCTGCCCTTCTTGACACCAGGCCATCCTCCAAATATCTTCGCCTCACTGTGCGTGCAGATGCACTCACACCTGCCTCCTGCCATTCCTGAGCAAGCTCTGCACTGGTGGTGCCCCGATCCCGCAGCTGAATCAACTTTAGGAGACGGTCCTGGCGCTTGCTGGACTTTCTTGGGCGCCCTGACGCCTTCACAACAATCGAACCTCTCTCCTTGAAGTTCTTGATGATCCGATAAATGGTTGATTTTGGTGCAATCTTACTAGCAGCAATATCCTTGCCTGTGAAGCCCTTTTGTGCAAAGCAATGATGACGGCACGTGTTTTCCTTGCAGGTAACCATGGTTAACAGAGGAAGAACAATGATTTCAAGCACCACCCTCCTTTTAAAGCTTCCAGTCTGTTATTCTAACTCAATCAGCATGACAGAGTGATCTCCAGCCTTGTCCTTGTCAACACTCACCTGTGTTAACAAGAGAATCACTGACATGATGGCAGCTGGTCCTTTTTTGGCAGGGCTGAAATGCAGTGGAAATCTTTTTGGGAGATTAAGTTCATTGTCATGGGACTTTGCAATTAATTGCAATCCATCTGATCACTCTTCATGACATTCTGGAGAATATGCAAATTGCCATCATCAAAACTGAGGCAGCAGACTTTGTGAAAATGTGTATTTGTGTCATTCTCAAAACTTTTGACCACGACTGTAGACAACATCTAGAGACAAGTCTACCACAGTCTGTGGAAAACAGTGTTCAGTAACAGTTTACATTGCACTGTTATGACACAAAAAAATGTCATTGGATAGGCGTAGTCAGAGCCATATATTTAGGGTGTGGTCGTAAATTGCCTCCAGTGTGTCAGAGTGCGCTCTGGGTCATTTAGTAAATTCTGAGTGTTTCGCACTCAGAGCATTTAGAGCGCACACCAGACGCTCTGGCCGAGTAGAAGGGTTGATCCAAGCGTTCTAACATCACAACGGCAGTCAAACACCCAAGATAACCGGCTAAAGTTGGCTAGCTTGCTAGCTACTTCCAGACACAAATGAGAGAACACCTCACTCTGACCATTTTACTCGCTCTAGCAGAGCTGGTTAGGATGTTTTCATTTTATCTAGAGCGTTAGTGACTGTAACTGTGCTGCTTGCAACAATTTAACAATGTTTTTTTGCCGACACCAGTCATTTTCAACGGGTGTTGCGCGTTCATAAATTCATCAATTATTCTGCGCTCTGGCACACTCAGATGAGAGTGCTCTGAAATCCGAGTAGATAGCCAGAGTGAATTTACGAACGCACCCTTAGAAAGCTAGGACATTGAGGTTTCTGCATTATGATGCATTTACATGACACTACATTCCATGGCAGCCATGTTATCTCCCTATGGGCTATATTTAAGCAATAAGGTATGAGGGGGTATGGTATATGGCCAATATACCACTGCTAAGGGATGTTCTTAAGCACAATGCAACGCGGAGTGCCTGGATACAGCCCTTAGCTGTGGTATATTGGCCATATTCAACAAACCCCCGAGGTGCCTTATTGCTATTATAAACTGGTTACCAACGTAATGAGAGCAGTAAAAATAAATGTTTTGTCATACCCGTGGTATACGGTCTGATATACCATGGCTGTCAGCCAATGAGCATTCAGGGCTCGAACCACCCAGTTTATAATGACCAATAGCATTTCACTGAATTTTCTGAGTTTTAAACAATGCTATGTACAAGATTCCAAATTCTCATCATGTATGGATAAATGAAATGCTCACAGGCGCAAACATGGCGTCCATTCTAAAAGTTGGCCCAACTCTCTAAATATATGGCTCTGGGCGTAGCTAATCCTGGTTTGTTACATGACAGTGCAAAGTCAGTTGACGTGATGATACCATGTCTGACACAAGTTTTTATGACTGTTTATGGGTTTTCTTCAAGTAAAATGCTACCTAAAAGCGATTGTTATGATTATAAAAGATGCAAAAAGATAATGATATTATACATTCCTTGAGCCCCCTCACCCATTGCCTTACGTCAGATGTTGCGACGGCTGTCTCCACTGACCAACTCGTTGCATTAGAATGATGTAGCTGTTGGAAGACAATGGCCCCTCACCTTGTTGAGCTCTTCCTCAATGCTGCAGGAGTCCAGGCCCAGATGCGGGTAATCCTTCTCCGTCACCCCTCTGATGATCTCTGTCATCTGTTGGTAGTCCTCAGCACTCACAGTAGCGCTGAAGTTGATGTGGTGGGGGATCAGGTCGTGGCTGACCTCATTCCCTAGCAAAGCAATTATCTTCTTAGTGTTCCTGAGAGATTGAAAATAATATAAAACCAGATCAAAATGGATACTCTATCATACAAGACCATGCTAATATCTTATCGGCCTTATCACATGGCTCAGTGTTTACAGCATGATTCAAGTATTGGCCACATACATTGCATTGAATATACTGTGTGTCTCTATGAAATGTACGATCGATAAAAGCATCTTCTTAACTAAAAGTCACAATCAAACAGGCATATTATATTGGCCTATTGGCAATATTGGCCTATAATCACCAAAGGGTAATGCTTTGGGGGATTAGGCTACATTCCGGTGTTCTAAAAGTGAGTGGCTTATAGTGTACTACTCACAGTGCGACACACTTGGTGTTCATGATGTTGGCCTTGAAGCCGAGCACGGCGAACACCACCAGGGTGGCCAGCACAGAGGTGAAGAAGTTGATGAAGGAGACCAGCACCGCGTCGAAGTGACAGTTGTTATCCCGTTTGTTGTAGCTGGAGAAGGCTATGACCCCTCCAAAACCCAGGCCTAGGGCGAAGAAGACCTGTGTGGCCGCTTCGCGCCACACCTTGGCCTCCAGCATGATCTCCAACTGGAAGGAAATAAATAAAGAATGCACATTTAGGTGAGGTGCTAAAGGAAGATAAACTATAGTTCCAGACTCATCTCTCCTTGCTGTGGATTCATTTGACCAACATTTGGCTCTTTAGGACAACACTACGTCATTTAGTAGTGGACAAACCATTGTTTGGACCAGTGGAGCAGATCAGTGGACATGTGAATCATGGTTGAGTTACATCACTTTGTCAAAACTGGTGAAGATCAAACAAGGACACAACAAGGAGAGTATATCCAGCATGCTACTGCTATCTTTGTGTGGTGGAAGGCTTAACCCAGTTAGAAGGCACACACTACAAATCACACAATGAGCCCTGCTTTTGATGTCTTTCTCACTGCACATACAGTGGCTTGCGAAAGTATTCACCCCCCTTGGCATTTTTCCTATTTTGTTGCCTTACAACCTGGAATTAAAATGGATTTTTTGGGGTTTTGTATCATTTGATTTAAACAACATGCCTACCACTTTGAAGATGCAAAATATTTTTTATTGTGAAACAAACAAGAAATAAGACAAAAAAACAGAAAACTTGAGCGTGCATAACTATTCACCACCCCAAATTCAATACTTTGTAGAGCTACCTTTTGCAGAAATTACAGCTGCAAGTCTCTTGGGGTATGTCTCTATAAGCTTGGCACATCTAGCCACTGGGATTTTTGCCCATTCTTCAAGGCAAAACTGCTCCAGCTCCTTCAAGTTGGATGGGTTCCACTGGTGTACAGCAATCTTTAAGTCATACCACAGATTCTCAATTGGATTGAGGTCTGGGCTTTGACTGGGCCATTCCAAGACATTTAAATGTTTACCCATAAACCACTCGAGTGTCGCTTTAGCAGTATGCTTAGGGTCATTGTCCTGCTGGAAGGTGAACCTCCGTCCCAGTCTCAAATCTCTGGAAGACTGAAACAGGTTTCCCTCAAGAATTTCCCTGTATTTAGCGCCAACCATTATTCCTTCAATTCTGACCAGTTTCCCAGTCCCTGCCGATGAAAAACATCCCCCACAGCATGATGCTGCCACCACCATGCTTCACTATGGGGATGGTGTTCTCGGGTGATGAGAGGTGTTGGGTTTGCGACAGACATGTCATTTTCCTTGATGGACTAAAAGCTCAATTTTAGTCTAATCTGACCAGTGTACCTTCTTCCATATGTTTGGGGAGTCTCCCACATGTCTTTTGGCGAACACCAAACGTGTTTGCTTATTTTTTTCTTTAAGCAATGGCTTTTATCTGGCCACTCCTCTGTAAAGCCCAGCTCTGTGGAGTGTACGGCTTAAAGTGGTCCTATGGACAGATACTCCAATCACCGCTGTGGAGCTTTGCAGCTCCTTCAGGGTTATCTTTGGTCTCTTTGTTGCCTCTGATTAATGCCCTCCTTGCCTGGTCTGTGAGTTTTGGTGAGCGGCCCTCTCTTGGCAGTTTTGTTGTGGTGCCATATTCTTCCCATTTCTGAAATAATGGATTTAATGGTGCTCCGTGGGATGTTCAAAATTTCTGATATTTTTTTATAACCCAACCCTGATCCGTACTTTTCCACAACTTTGTCCCTGACCTGTTTGGAGAGCTCCTTGGTCTTCATGGTGCCGCTTGCTTGGTGGTGCCCCTTGCTTAGTGGTGTTGCAGATTCTGGGGCCTTTCAGAACAGGTGTACACAGAAAGCGGCACAGGTCCTAATCCAGGCACTTGTCATCTCCCTTCTGGATTACTGCAACTCGCTGTTGGCTGGGCTCCCTGCCTGTGCCATTAAACCCCTACAACTTATCCAGAACGCCGCAGCCCGTCTGGTGTTCAACCTTCCCAAGTTCTCTCATGTCACCCGCTCCTCCGCACACTCCACTGGCTTCCAGTTGAGGCTTGCATCTACTACAAGACCATGGTGCTTGCCTACGGAGCTGTGAGGGGAACGGCACCTCCTTACCTTCAGGATCAGACCCTACACCCAAACGAGGGCACTACGTTCATCCACCTCTGGCCTGCTAGCTCCCCTATCTCTACAGAAGCACAGTTCCCGCTCAGCCCAGTCAAAGCTATTTGCTGCTCTGGCACCCCAATGGTGGAACAAGCTCCCCCACGACGCCAGGACAGCGGAGTCACTGACCACCTTCCGGAGACACTTGAAACCCTACCTCTTTAAAGAATACCTGGAATTCTGGCACATTTTCAGTCAATATACACTACCGTTCAAAAGTTTGGGGTCACTTAGAAATGTCCTTGTTTTTGAAAGAAAAGCAACTTTGGGGTCCATTTAATATATTATCAAATTGATCAGAAATACAGTGTAGACATTGTTAATGTTGTAAATGGCTATTGTAGCTGAAAACGGCTAATTTTTTTATGGAATATCTACATAGGCGTACAGAGGCCCATTATCAGCAACCATCAGTCCTGTGTTCCAATGGCACATTGTGTTTGCTAATCCAAGTTTATCATTTTAAAAGGCTAATTGATCATTAGAAAACCCTTTTGCAATTATGTTAGCACAGCTGAAAACTGTTGTGCTGATTAAAGAAGCAATAAAACTGGCCTTCTTGAGACTAGTTGGGTATCTGGAGCATCAGCAATTGTGGGTTCGATTACAGGCTCAAAATGGCCAGAAACAAAAAACGTTATTCTGAAACTCGTCAGTCTATTCTTGTTCTGAGAAATGAAGGCAATTCTATGCGAGAAATTGCCAAGAAACTGAAGATCTCGTACAACGCTGTGTACTACTCCCTTCACAGAACAGCGCAAACTGGCTCTAACCAGAATAGAAAGAGGAGTGGGAGGCCCCAGTGCACAACTGAGCAAGAGGTCAAATACATTAGAGTGTCTCGTTTGAGAAATAGGCGCCTCACAGGTCCTCAACTGGCAGCTTCATTACCCGCAAAACACCAGTCTCAACGTAAACAGTGAAGAGGCGACTCCGGGATGCTGACCTTCTAGGCAGAGTTGCAAAGAAAAAGCCATATCTCAGACTGGCCAATAAAAATAAAAGATTAAGATGGGCAGTCTGAGATATGGCTTTTTCTTTGCAACTCTGCGGGTGGGGAGAGAGCGAGATAGGGTGGAGGATGCTTGGCTTGAAGCGCTGGGCATCTTGTTATGACATGCATTATTTGAATTAGGCCCACAGAATTATACATACGGATGAGCGACTTCTATGGAGGAATTTTGATTGTCTTTGAACTTCCGAGAGTTGGCTTAACGTTGAACCAGAGCTAGTTAGCTAGCTAACAAGCTTGTGTGTGCAGAGCGGCACCAGAATTAAAATAAAAACAAGTCTTACCTTTTTGTAGTTAATAAATCCAACTTGAAATGTGATAACTATAGTATCCTTAACTAGCATTGAAAAAGTTAATCCATTCTTCTCTAATTAAAAATCTCTCTCCCTAATTTCTGAATCATGCATGTAACATCAGTAGGCTACAGTAGCCTATGCTTCAGAGGCGGAGGGGCAGGTAGCCTACACATGCACACACACTGGCAAAGATTTCCAGTTGGCAGGCAGACACTGGATAAGCCCATTCCCTTAAAAATTAGGGCTATATTCGAGCTGGCTCGAATGAAAATCTCAAATTCGAGCTGGGTCGAGGGAAACACAGGCCAGCGCAGCCCAGTTTCACAGCTGGTGCCAGCTAAATTAGAAATTGGGCTGGTGACGCCCTTAATATGTAACCGCAAAGCTGATCACTGCTGGATGCTGTCAAAACGTTTAGCTAGCTCATCTGGGCTTGTTGCTGTTAGCTAGCACATGGAGAAGCAGTACTGCAGTAGTCAGACATGACACGAATAACCACCATAGCTGGATCCTTCATTCATTTTTGCACTACACAATAAACTTTTATGAGAACATTCAGCCCTTGAATGCTAGCTACCTAACGTTAGCCAGCAAATCAGAGTTGAAACAAGCTAGCTAGATAGCTAACGTGAGCTAGCAGGAATTTTAGCTGGCCAGGTCATATTGAAAGCTAGCTAGCTAACTAGCTACATCATATCAAACCTATTGACTCGTTTGCTTAGTTAGGTAGCTATCTAATAACCAATGTCATGGCAAGCAAGGTAGGAATTAAGCTAGCTAGCCTGTTATTCTAGCAACGACGCTAACTGTTTAGCTAGCTAGATAGCTAACATTAGCAAGCAAAATACATGGCTCTGAATCTGGCTGGTACTTGCAGAAGTATGGGGTAACGTTTGTTACAGCATGGTGAGGGTGAATGAAATTATTCAACATCTTCCATCTAGCTAGCAACATTAGCGAAGCCAGCTGCAGTCACATATTGGCTACTTAGCAACATTGCATAATTTCTCATTTCTGGGGGCAGTGGAAACACAATTTGAGCTAGCCCACCAAGGCCAGCCCAACCCGGTTTGACTTCAAATTGCCAATTGAAACGGGGCTTAAGTTTCTGAGTGACAGAGTTTTGTGAGACTGGAAAAAAATGGCGGAACGTAAAATAATGTTATTAACCAGTTCTCATGCTTTTAAAACAACGGTTTTGATCCGGAACAGTATAGATCACCTTCGCTCCCGGTTCTGATTCTGTTCCTCTGAAAATTGGTCATTATCCAGTTTTCTGTTCTGTTCCCTGAACCGGTTCCAACCCCAGGACTGTACTGTACTGTACCTTGGGTAAGCTTTAGGGTTAGGATACTGTACCTTGGGTGTGAACATGTGTCGGAATCCCATCCATAGATCCCTTGAGGAGCAGAGCCCTGACCAGGAAGCAGATCAGCACTACGTAGGGGAACAACGAGCTGAAGTACATCACCTGAAAAAACAACCACAACATAAGGACAACCTTATTATAACTCATACATTACAAAGTGAGTGGCTGACTTGAGACTCGACCCGAAAACGTCCTCAAAGACTTGAGACTTGAATCTCCTATGGGAACAGCCGCAGAACCCTTTTGGAACCCTTTTTTCTAAGAGTGTAGTCTCCTGAACTGCTTTAGGTGCCCACCTGCATCTGGGCTGGGGCCCACACAAGAGCTTTTGTCTCACTGTCCCACTAAGCTGACAGAGAGAGAGGCCTCCTTGCTTGGTGATATACTGTATTATCTTGGAGGATACTAGGGGACTTTGGATTGGAGGGTGTTGTGGGTGGGGAGAGTAAATTGAGTCACCCCACAGGCTCTGAGGCGTGGGGGTTTCAGGGTTGGGTCGGGGGAGGCTGGGGGGTTTCAGGAATGATTCAGGGTTGGTCCTCTTGGGCCTGGTCAAAAATATCATAATCATTCGAAAATATATTACTCACTCCTTGAATATGCACATTTCTCCAAAACTCAGTTGTTCTGAGTCTGCACAGAACTGCCAGGACGTCGGATCAATGGAAATACTCAAGTTTTTTAATCCTGTATCTCTCGAAACATTCACAAAAATAGTCACAGCCTCTAAACCTTCCAGCTGTCTACTGGACCATATTCCAACTAAACTACTGAAAGAGCTACTTCCTATGCTTGGCCCTCCTATGCTGAACATAATAAACGGCTCCCTATCCTCTGGATGTGTACCAAACTCACTAAAAGGGGCAGTAATAAAGCATTTCCTGAAAAAGCCAAACCTTGAACCGGAAAATTGAAAACAATATCAGCCTATATCAAATTGCCCATTCCTCTCAAACATTTTAGAAAAAGCTGTTGCTCAGCAACTTGCTGCCTTCCTGAAGACAAAATAATGTATACAAAATGCTCCAGTCTGGTTTTAGACCCCATCATAGTACTGAGACTGCACTCGTGAAGGTGGTAAAGTACCTTTTAATGGCGTCAGACCAAGGCTCTGCGTCTATCCTCGTGCTCCTAGACCTTAGTACCGCTTTCGACACCATCGATCACCACATTCTTCTGGAGAGATTGTGAACCTTAATTGGTCTACACAGACAAGTTCTTGCCTGGTTTAGATCCTATCTATCGGAAAGATATCAGTTCGTCTCTGTGGATGGTTTGTCCTCTGAAAAATCAATGGTAAGTTTTAGTATTCCTCAAGGTTACGTTCTAGGACCACTATTATTTTCACTATATATGCTACCTCTTGGTGATGTCATTCGGAAATAAAATGTAAACTTTCACCTGTATGCAGATGACACACAGCTGTACATTTTGATGAAAACATAGTGAACCCCAAAATTGCCAACCCTGGAAGCCTGTGTTTCAGTGGATGGCGGCAAATGTTTTACTTTTAAACTTGGACAAAACAGAGATGCTAGTTCTAGGTCCCAAGAAACAAAAAGATCTGCTGTCGGATCTGACAATTAATCTTGGTGGTTGTACAGTTGTTTCAAATAAAAATGAAGGACCTCAGTGTTACTCTGGACCCTGATCTCTCTTTTGACAAACATATCAAAAATATTTCAAGAGCAGCCTTTTTCCATCTTCCTTACATTTCAAAAATCTGAAACTTTTTGTCCAAAAATTATGCAGAAAATCTAATCCATGCTTTTGTCACTTCAAGATTAGACTACATTTACATTTTAGTCATTTAGCAGACAGTCTTATCCAGAGCAACTTACAGTAGAGTGCATACATTTTCATACAAGGCACTGGAGTGACAAACCACCCTTGCTGTCTCTCTCCACTGGGATTCTTTGCCTCTGACCCTATTACGGGGGCTGAGTCACTGGCTTGCTCGAGCTCTCCCATCCTTCGTGTCCTTGGGCTTGTGTGGTTGGGGAGATCTTCGTGGGCTATACACGGTAATTATGTGTTCTTTTGTAGCTGCACAGAACTGCTGTCTATCAAGAATGCAAGCAAAAATTAGATTGAGTGGAAAATTAATAAGCCATTTAATACACATGATTAAAGTTTTTTTCTTTCAATTTTTTGTGAGTAGACCCCTAACAATTACACAAAGTAAAAGAGTGCGTATAACCATGGCAACCATGCTCCCCCTCGGTCTCTCTTGCACCCTCACAACCACACACAGAAATTAAAAAGAAACTGTAGATCACAGCCTAGGAATAGGCTTTTGTGAACAAGGGGCAAAAGCGACATTAATATTCTTTTGTGTGGTAAAGCCCTGATTAAGCTTCAAAGGGTCTCCCACTCTGGCCCCTTCACCAGGAGGGAAACCGGAAAGCTCATGGCCATTTCCATGACCTCACACTAGGCGACAGACAAACAGGACATGGAAGATTGGGACACTACAGATGGTTTCCCTGCTGTCATGCCATCACCATGGCAGTGGACCAAGATTAAAGCACTTCTGTCTGTTTGAGAGGCCAGGGCATCCATCTTGTTTTGTCTGTGTGTGTTGTGGAGACTGTTTTGTCTGTGTTTGTTGTGGAGACAGGGGCTTGAATAGAACCAAGCAAACACCAGACAGCTGTTGGGATAAGACCAGGGAGAGGGACAATGGCTGGATCAAATGCTGCACTCAGATAGCACAGGATAGGGCCATGTTCCTATAAGACCAGAAATACTCTAAAGCGAGTGAAAATGGTCTTTGCTAAAATGCTCAAGGAACAATACTCTAAAAGGAGTAGAGACTTTCTTTGCTAAGACGCACAAGCAATGATAAGGACCCAATGGTGTTCTCAATGGTGTTCTCTTTCAAGTACTTGTTTCGATGTATCACATGTGGGGGTTTGCTAGGGCCACCTACTCTCTCGGAAGTACCTATCAAAAGCGTCTGCTGGAGACAGACAGGTAGAGTGGCACATGAGGTGAGACCCTCACTTCCATAAAAGAAGCCACTCTCCGGCCCTCTGTTTATGCTCGCTTCTCTTCCTCACGAAGAGTGTCATTACTCTAGCTCTCCTCATATCGACTGGATACCTGTTTGCCTGCTTAATCTGCTCACAATCGAACCGTGAAGGATATCGCTGCCGAGCGTAGGTCTTCAGACCCTGTCGAGAGGTTGAGTAGTAACCGTAAGGTTTTTGTTTAGGAGTAGAAATTCAATTTCTACTTCTCAGTCTCCTTTGGTAGCTAGTGTCACTGCTAGCTATTGAGACTTGGTTAACACTAGAACCGCCTGGCCTTTCAGCCTATAAGTACCCACTACAAAACGTTGCGAACGTTGCTGGGTGTCCCCTTTACCATACGCATCAGATGCATATCAACCTGCAAGGTGTGCACCAATGCTTGATAGTGCATAAACAATTATAAAGGATGAATTGCATGAAGAAATATTTGTGGAAATATACCCATGTAAAAAATATAACAATAGTTATTTGTTTAGATAGAGTCAAGGATATGTTTTGTATAATTCTACAAAGTCCTAGTGAAAAACGTAGGTCTAAAGCCAATCTTCCACACTTCCAGGCAATGATGCACCAACATTCTAACAGTCTAATTTCATTTATTTCATACGTGCTATCCGAAGAATAATAATTTGGTTTTGTTCATGAAGGTCTTAGGTAACATTAGAATACTAAAAAACTATTATTTCAAAGAACAAAATAGCATATTCATTAGTTTGCGTTACTCTAGGCTATCAGTAAAAACAACAAACCACTAGTTCATCACAAAGAAATCCAGTATAATTTCATTTTGGCAGGTCTAAAGAAACATTGTGGAAATAAGAAAATGTATTTAAACAAAAACAGAATATAATATTTTACGTTTATTATGTTACTAGTCTTTGCTTAGTAGCCAGAGCAATGCCGCTGCGCGAGTGGTCATGTGCTGAACGCATAGACAGCGCTGATATTCTTGGAAAAATTATATTTAGAAATAGAGATCCACTTCTTGAATTTTGAGAGTTATTTGACAAAGGTAAGTGTCATAGAAACTGCAGAATATGCTCGTTATGATACTACACTGCTCAAAAAAATAAAGGGAACACTAAAATAACACATCCTAGATCTGAATGAATGAAATAATCTTATTAAATACTTTTTTCTTTACATAGTTGAATGTGCTGACAACAAAATCACACAAAAATTATCAATGGAAATCAAATGTATCAACCCATGGAGGTCTGGATTTGGAGTCACCCTCAAAATTAAAGTGGAAAACCACACTACAGGCTGATCCAACTTTGATGTAATGTCCTTAAAACAAGTCAAAATGAGGCTCAGTAGTGTGTGTGGCCTCCACGTGCCTGTATGACCTCCCTACAATGCCTGGGCATGCTCCTGATGAGGTGCGGATGGTCTCCTGAGGGATCTCCTCCCAGACCTGGACTAAAGCATCCGCCAACTCCTGGACAGTCTGTGGTGCAACGTGGCGTTGGTGGATGGAGTGAGACATGATGTCCCAGATGTGCTCAATTGGATTCAGGTCTGGGGAACGGGCGGGCCAGTCCATAGCATCAATGCCTTCCTCTTGCAGGAACTGCTGACACACTCCAGCCACATGAGGTCTAGCATTGTCTTCCATTAGGAGGAACCCAAGGCCAACCGCACCAGCATATGGTCTCACAAGGGGTCTGAGGATCTCATCTCGGTACCTAATGGCAGTCAGGCTACCTCTGGCGAGCACATGGAGGGCTGTGCGGCCCCCCAAAGAAATGCCACCCCACACCATGACTGACCCACCGCCAAACCGGTCATGCTGGAGGATGTTGCAGGCAGCAGAACGTTCTCCACGGCGTCTCCAGACTCTGTCACATCTGTCACGTGCTCAGTGTGAACCTGCTTTCATCTGTGAAGAGCACAGGGCGCCAGTGGTGAATTTGCCAATCTTGGTGTTCTCTGGCAAATGCCAAACGTCCTGCACGGTGTTGGGCTGTAAGCACAACCCCCACCTGTGGACTTCGGGCCCTCATACCACCCTCATGGAGTCTGTTTCTGACCGTTTGAGCAGAGACATGCACATTTGTGGCCTGCTGGAGGTCATTTTGCAGGGCTCTGGCAGTGCTCCTCGGTAGCAGTCCTGCTGCTGGGTTGTTGCCCTCCTATGGCCTCCTCCACGTCTCCTGATGTACTGGCCTGTCTCCTGGTAGCGCCTCCATGCTCTGGACACTACGCTGACAGACACAGCAAACCTTCTTGCCACAGCTCGCATTGATGTGCCATCCTGGATGAGCTGCACTACCTGAGCCACTTGTGTGGGTTGTAGACTCCGTCTCATGCTACCACTAGAGTGAAAGCACCGCCAGCATTCAAAAGTGACCAAAACATCAGCCAGGAAGCATAGGAACTGAGAAGTGGTCTGTGGTCACCATCTGCAAAACCAGTCCTTTATTGGGGGTGTCTTGCTAATTGCCTATAATTTCCACCTGTTGTCTATTCCATTTGCACAACAGCATGTGACATTTATTGTCAATCAGTGTTGCTTCCTAAGTGGACAGTTTGATTTCACAGAAGTGTGATTGACTTGGAGTTACATTGTGTTGTTTAAGTGTTCCCTTTATTTTTTTGAGCAGTGTATATAGAAATCAAAACATTTTACATTTTACCTGCAAGTGTTGCTCCTTTCCCTGCATCTGTCAATTCCAAGCTGCGCCAATCTCTTCACGTACAATTTGACAACTGATAATATTGTCACTCATCAGACTATCGTCGATTGAATCTTGTCTTTAGGCTAGCTTTTATTATGTGTGAAATTAGTTTGGGTATAGTTTAGGTGTAGTTTTGATGGGCTGGCTGTGCAGGCTGACTGGCATTGTTTGTTTCCCCTCACTCATCAACCTGGATAGAGTCAAGGATATGTTTTGCATTATTCTAAAAGCCTACTGCAACAAATAGCATGTTTTGTTTCCCTTACAATAAAGGTGATTAGTCATAGAGATATAATAAATAAAACTGTCCTGTAACAGCTAAAAAAACGTAAAAGAGAATGGTATCAAATGATTAACATGTGCTCCAACGCTGATTAATAGGCATAACATAAACTCATCATTACACCTAATCTAAATTCAATTGTGAAATAACAAAATAACATGCACAATTATAAGCCATTTGTCATTCATTCAGTGAGGAGAGACTGGCTGGGTACCAACGTCCTACCACAGCGCATTGTCTTGGCTGATTAAGTTGGGAATAGGTGTGAGAAAAAAACAAAAAACAGGTAAAAAGGCTCCAAATACTTTTCTGTTTGTGATTTCAAAAAATTCGGACAAATGAGAAATGCAAAATACAAACATTTACGAAAAATTAGGGAAGGAGCAGGACATTGCAATTATTTTTTGGGGGGCTGATTAATTTTATTTACAAAATCAAATGTCAGTGGCCATTGGCCTATGGCGGTTCTAGTGTTAAGACATGCTGCAAGGCTAACTTGGCTAGCTTGCTGACAGGCAAGCTACACAACTTCCCTAGCATACCCTACCAGCAATATAGTAGCATTGCTGGCTCCCTTCTCTAGTCTAGTTAACCTGCGTTCACATGTTGTGTTAACTACACCGACTCTCTCAGCCTTCATGGCATTGTCGGTCGCGGGAGCACTCTTTCTCAATCACTCGGTTTCCTTCAGCCAGCACTAAGCTAGACACGGCACACCTTCACCACGAGGTAGCTGCTAGCTAACTAACGCCCCACTAGCCTCATGGCTATAGCGTTATACGGTGATCAATATTGCTAGCTGTTAGCCACAAGGCTCCTAACTACAGTGCATTTGGAAAGTATTCAGACCCCTTCCCTTTTTCCACATTTTGTTACGTTACAGCCTTATTCCAAAATTGATTAAATAAATAAAAATGGTCCTCAATCTAGACACAATACACGATAATGACAAAGTGAAAACATGTTTTTAAACATTTTTGCACATTTATAAAAAATAAAAAACAGAAATACGTTATTTATATAAGTATTCAGACCAGTGGCCATTTTCGCATGTAAATCTTGGTGGGGCAAACAAAACACAAAATTTGTGGATGCATGCCAGCAAAGCCACTACACAACACAACACTAAACAATACATTTATTGTACTATAAAGGTGACAAACGGTGCCCACAAACTGTTAGGGCCTACATACAGTGGGGAAAAAAAGTATTTAGTCAGCCACCAATTGTGCAAGTTCTCCCACTTAAAAAGATGAGAGAGGCCTGTAATTTTCATCATAGGTACACGTCAACTATGACAGACAAATTGAGAAAAAAATATCCAGAAAATCACATTGTAGGATTTTTAATGAATTTATTTGCAATTTATGGTGGAAAGTAAGTATTTGGTCACCTACAAACAAGCAAGATTTCTGGCTCTCACAGACCTGTAACTTCTTCTTTAAGAGGCTCCTCTGTCCTCCACTCGTTACCTTTATTAATGGCACCTGTTTGAACTTGTTATCAGTATAAAAGACACCTGTCCACAACCTCAAACAGTCACACTCCAAACTCCACTATGGCCAAGACCAAAGAGCTGTCAAAGGGACACCAGAAACAAAATTGTAGACCTGCACCAGGCTGGGAAGACTGAATCTGCAATAGGTAAGAAGCTTGGTTTGGAGAAATCAATTGTGGGAGCAATTATTAGGAAATGGAAGACATACAAGACCACTGATAATCTCCCTCGATCTGGGGCTCCACGCAAGATCTCACCCCGTGGGGTCAAAATGATCACAAGAACGGTGAGCAAAAATCCCAGAACCACACGGGGGGACCTAGTGAATGACCTGCAGAGAGCTGGGACCAAAGTAACAAAGCCTACCATCAGTAACACACTATGCCGCCAGGGACTCAAATCCTGCAGTGCCAGACGTGTCCCCCTGCTTAAGCCAGTACATGTCCAGGCCCGTCTGAAGTTTGCTAGAGTGCATTTGGATGATCCAGAAGAGGATTGGGAGAATGTCATATGATCAGATGAAACCAAAATAGAACATTTTGGTAAAAACTCAACTCGTCGTGTTTGGAGGACAAAGAATGCTGAGTTGCATCCAAAGAACACCATACCTACTGTAAAGCATGGGGGTGGAAACATCATGCTTTGGGGCTGTTTTTCTGCAAAGGGACCAGGACGACTGATCCGTGTAAAGGAAAGAATGAATGGGGCCATGTATCGTGAGATTTTGAGTGAAAACCTCCTTCCATCAGCAAGGGCATTGAAGATGAAACGTGGCTGGGTCTTTCAGCATGACAATGATCCCAAACACACCGCCCGGGCAACGAAGGAGTGGCTTCGTAAGAAGCATTTCAAGGTCCTGGAGTGGCCTAGCCAGTCTCCAGATCTCAACCCCATAAAAAATCTTTGAAAGTCTGTGATGCCCAGCGACAGCCCCAAAACATCACTGCTCTAGAGGAGATCTGCATGGAGGAATGGGCCAAAATACCAGCAACAGTGTGTGAAAACCTTGTGAAGACTTACAGAAAACGTTTGACCTGTGTCACTGCCAACAAAGGTTATATAACAAAGTATTGAGAAACTTTTGTTATTGACCAAATACTTAATTTTCCACCATAATTTGCAAATAAATTCATATAAAATCCTACAATGTGATTTTCTGGAAAAGAAATTCTCATTTTGTCTGTCATAGTTGACGTGTACCTATGATGAAAATTACAGGCCTCTCTCATCTTTTTAAGTGGGAGAACTTGCACAATTGGTGGCTGACTAAATACTTTTTCCCCCACTGTACATATATATATACACACACACATACACACATACATACATACATACATACATACATACATACATACATACATACACATATACATATACACACATACACACACACATAAACACCCACATATATACATACACATACATATCCTTTAAAATATATATATATATTCCCCTTTATTACTTTCCAATCCCGCCACCCTTTCCCCACTTGGAGTAAACTAGTGAACAACAACGCCTAGGCCTCTACTTCCAGCCCATACCCACTATCTACATTTTATGGACACAGTCAATTTTACAATAATTACATTTTGTTTGTTCTTTCTCCTGAACTTCTTCTACTCTCAACCTCTCCGATCATTTTCATGATGTCCATCCGGTTTGCTTCTATATGCCATATATTTCTAACTGTGCTCCTTCACAAAAGCTCCCAGCCTACAACCCATACACTTATTATGGACACAGCGTGCCTACATTATTAGTTATCTTGTTATTGTTTGTTGTTAGTTGTTATTAGTCCCATCCTTCAATTCCATTCAACACCTCCCATCTATCTTTTAACACCATCCATATAGGATTTCTATTTGCCATATATATTTCAACTGTACTGTGATGTCTTACAAAAGTTCTGAACCTTTCTATTCTCATTGTTTCTACAGATTGTGAATTGAAAATAAACATTTTTGCTAATAGTATTATTATGTCATTGATCGATTGACTATGACTTTTCAGATCACCCAGTAGTGCTATCTGCAGGGTTAGCTCCAGGTAAATATTGCAATCCTTTAGCCATTCCTGGACCTGTGTCCAAAAACAAGCTACAAATGGACAGTACCAAAACAAATTATCTAATGATTCTGTCTCTTCGCAGCAAAATCTGCAGAGCTTGGAGGATTGTATCCCCCATATAAATAACATTCTATTGGTAGCAAGAATTTTAGATAATAATTTAAATTGAAAGATTCTAAGTTTTGAATCCGGTATCGTTTTGCGTATCAGTTCATAAACACTATGCCATGGGATCGGTACGTCAAAAATCTCTTCCCAACCATTTTGCAATCTATATGGGACGGCTGTCAATCCTTTGGTCCTTAAATGAAACTGATATACTTTTTCATTTATCACAGTTTTCCTTAACCAATTATGTTCTTTAATGCAAGGCCGACAGACAAGTTTCTTACTTTCTCCTCCTTCCACTTTCCTCTTCCATTTTTGCGGTAAGGCTGCAATTATTTGGTTGTAATTTTGGGTAGAGCAGACATTTCCATATGTTTTTGTTAGCTGCATGTGCGACATAACTCCACCAGTCCTACCGATGATATCATTTACAAAGATTATACCTTTTTTAAACATTTTGTCAAAAAAAATAAGTTTTTTTGTCAATTAGTATATTTGAGTTTAACCACAATATTTGTTGCATTATCTGTTCTGTCGTTTCTGGAGGATTAAATTGAAATCGCAACCAACTTTCTATGGCTTGTTTTAGAAATAGTGATATCTGGGAGATGATATCCTTTTCAAATAACTGAAAGTGAGTGGTTGTAATCTGAATAAAGGGAAAAAGGCCATTCTTGAACATTGGGTGAGACAATTTTACTAATTTGCTAGAGAACCAGTTCGGATTTAAGTATAACTTTTATATGACTGAAGCTTTTAGTGATAGGTCTAATGCTTTAATATTTAATAATTTCTGTCCTCCGAATTCATATTCATTATATAAATAGGCCCGTTTAATTTTGTCTGGCATGCCGTTCCAAATAAAATTGAATATTTTTTTCTCATATAATTTAAAAAACTGTTCGCTAGGTGTAAGCAAGACCATAAGCAAATAGGTAAACTGGGATAATACTAAAGAGTTAATCAGGGTGATTTTTCCACAAATTAACAGGCACCCACCTTTCCATGGTAGCAATATCTTATCTATTTTTGCTAACTTTCTATTATAATTTATTGAAGTGAGATCATTTATTTCCTTTGGGATATGTATTCCGAGTATATCCACATCACCATGAGACCATTTTATTGGTAAACTACATGGCAATGTACATTTTTTATTTTTTATTGATCCAATACGTAATATAGTACATTTGTCATAATTTGGTTATAATCCAGAGAGGTTAGAAAATGTATCTAGATCCTCTATGAGGCTGTGGAGTGATTCTAGTTTTGGATTTAAAAGAAAACATGAATCATCAGCATACAATGACACCTTTATTTTTAAGCCCTGGATTTCTAATCCCCTGATATTATTGTCGGATCTGATTTTAATAGCTAACATCTCGATGGCTTCAATAAATAGATATGCCGATAGTGGACAACCTTGTTTCACTCCTCTTGACAGTTTAAAACTTTCTGAGAAATAGCCATTATTAACTTTTTTACACCTAGGGTTACTATACATGATTTTGACCCATTTTATAAGAGATTCTCCAAAATTGAAATGCTCCAGGCATTTATATATAAACCCCAGTCGTATTTTATCAAATGCCTTTTCGAAGTCTGCTATGAATAGCAGGCCTGGTTTCTCAGATTTTCCATAATGTTCTATTGTTTCCAATACTTGCCTTATATTATCTCCAATGTATCTTCCATGTAAAAAACCTGTCTGATTAGAATTAATAATATCCGACAATACCTTTTTAATTCTATGCGCTATACATTTTGCTAGAATTTTTGTATCACAACACTGAAGTGTAAGGGGCCTCCAATTTTTTTAATGGACTGGATCTTTATATTTTCCACTTGTATCCTGTTTCAGTAATAATGAGATCAGACCTTCTTCTTGAGTGTCAGATAATCGACCATTTACATAGGAGTGGTTAAAACATGATAATCTTAGTATATCAAAAAAGGTTTGGTATACTTCGACTGGTATGCCATACAACCCTGGAGTTTTCCCGGACTTAAAGTCTTTAATTGCATCCAGAAATTCCTCCTCTGTAATTTCACCTTCACAGGAGTCTTTCTGTTTGGCTGTTAATTTTACATTATCAATAGAAAACAAATCTCTACAATTAGTTTCAGTTAGAGGAGATGGAGAGCGACTGAAACGAAAACATATGCTTAAAGTACCTTGTTTCCTCCTTCAAAATATAATTTGGTGAATCATGGGTTACTCCATCAATTGTAACCAGTTTCATTAAATTCTTTTTGGTAGCATTCCTATGTTGAAGATTAAAAAATAATTTGGTGCATTTTTCCCCATATTCCATCCAGTTTGCTTTATTTTTATAATATATTACACTTGATCTTTCTTGAATAAGTTTCTCCATTTCTTTTTGTTTTTCCTCTAATTCTGAGCCTCTTTGTTACAGTTTTTATTGCCATCTATCTGTTCTGTTAGACTTTCTATTTCCTTTGTTAGTATAAACTCTTTTGACCTAAATTGCTTTTGTTTTCGAGATGAGTACTGAATTGCATGGCCTCTAAAGGCACATTTAAAGGTGTCCCATACAATAAGGGGATTTGCTGTACCTATGTTATGTCGGAAAAAGTTAGTTATAAATTCCTTTGTCCTAGTTAAAAATAAATTAGCATCCAATAGGCTTTGATTACATTTCCAATATCCTCGCCCACGTGGAAATTCAGTAAGAGTAATGTATATGCCAATTATATGATGGTCCGACCGCATTCTGTCCCCTATCAACACTTTTTAAACTTTTGGTGCCAACGAGAATGAGATAAGAAAGAAGTCAAGACGACTAGTTTGATTGAGTCTCCGCCATGTATATCTCACTAGATCAGGATATTTAAGCCTCCATATATCTACTAGTTCTAATGTATCCATGACATTCACGATTTTCTTAAGAGCATGTGGGTGATTGTTTGTGGTGTGATTTCCTTTACGGTCCATTGAGCTATTTAAAACAATATTATAATCCCCCACCATAATAATATTGTCTTGAATTGCATGCAGGGTTGATACTTTATTATATATATTGTCAAAGAAGTGTGGATCATCATTATTTGGTCCGTAAATGTTAATGAGCCATATCTGTTTATTGTCCAATAACATATTTAAAATAATCCATGTACCTTGCATATCTATTTGGACAATTTGCACATTCGGATCGAAATTACTATTAATTAATATCATCACCCCTTTTGAATTTCTTTGCCCATGGGAGAAGTATATTTCGCCCCCCCATTCCTTTTTCCACGCAACTTGTTGAATGAGTTTCCTGTAAACAATAGATATTATATTCCTTCTCTTTGAGCCATGTAAATATTGTTCTTCTTTTGTTATTATCAGCTAAGCCATTACAATTATAACTGGCTATACTTATTTCCCCATACACCATAATGAGACACAAGTTTCAAGTCTATTTATCATTATATATGTTTGTAAATTTACCAATAAAAAATACCGTAATGATTGAGTGTCCATATAGCTGTACCATGATATTTGCATTGCTACTAAGTATCCCTTCAATTGTTCTCCACTAATTCCCCCGCTAAAGCCCCTCCCCATCCCAAGTTGAGCCGTCATCCCAGTGATCGGCATCCCACCCACATCCCTCCGGATCCCTAGGGCCCCGAGAGGCCAGGACCCATCCATCGAAAACAGCACACAGTGCCACGCACAAAACAGAAGCAGATTAACCGCCAAAAGCATTTCCAATGCTGTCACCTCTATATAAAAATATATATCTATTCAAATATCTTGCATATCTTATTTTCCATCATTATACATTAATATGCGTAATAATGTCGGCAGTTCATGCGTAGGATTTTAACATATAACACGGATTTCCATTGTATTACATTTAATTTATTGACAAGCAATTATTATCCTAGCAAATAATTACTGTGGTCCATCCCATACCCCTCCCCAACATCCCCACCCCCCCACAACAGAAGCCGGACAAACATACACGCACATACTCCAACACACTCAACCCCCCTCCTCCACAATCCACCATAAAATCAGATACTCAACGGTTGTTATATCCCAGAGCCCAACTCAAGAAAGGACCTGATTTACGAGTGCACATACAGTTACAGCTGATTGAGAAAGCATGCAAGATTGAGCAGAAATTGACAACAATGTGAGATTTGATTAATCTACTTAATCTTTGTCAAGTCCTAGGGGATGGAGATCAGATCCACCCTCTTTACCTGAGACACAAACACTCTGGTCCCCCGTTGTAACCATTTTTCCCAAGCATCTCCGTGCAGTCAGACCTTTGATTATTTTGTGCCACCTGGGCCACAATGATAAACCCCCTCTCTGATTGTCCGAGTGTGACCCCCTCCCCATGGGTTACTGCAGCCAGTGTTGCCAGCACTGCCAACTACCTGGGTGGGGGTACCCCACCGGAATCCCCACCGGCTAGGTAAAAGGTCGTCAAGGTTCTCATTAGCAGCTTTGAGAATTTCCTTGTATATTATGCTCTCCCATCAGGGGGCTCTGGCTTTGTAGGACCAACCCTGCCAGGCAGGCTCAGAATCTTGAGGGGGCGGTGCTGCTCAAGTAGGTCTCTGACCGCATTTATTTATCTGTTTAGGCTGCATACTCACAGCAGGTCCAGAAAAGAGATGGGAACTTCTCTTTGGTGTATGGGTCACTCAGGTGGGTGTCCAGGATATAGGGTTGGGGATCTTTCCATCATGATAGGACAATAAAAAATTAGATTAGATGTATACTATATTTAAAAATGTATATCCCTCATCTACACAAAATTGAAAGCTCTCTCTCACTACCCCTGCTCATAAACACCCGTCGGCTCTAGGACATGCAACCATTTCCCCTCTCACTCAATTAACACCGCACCTTTCCAAACACAAAAATGCACACCATATGGTTGACTGCGGAGGAAATGGGCCGAGCGTGCAAACGCACCCACATCCCACACCTGCCGCAAGGGGGAAAGGACGCCAGGGAGAACACAGGACCAACCTCAACAACCGTCACCTGATATTAATGAGCGCTTGTTTCCTTTGAAATAGGGTCTGTTTGCATAGACTAAAATGAACAGCTTTGTATGAGTTAAAAAACCCACAGCATGCTAGCTTCATCCTGGTTGCTCAGTGGAATAATTCCATGGATAGAGAGCAGAAAATCATAGGTTTAAAATTTCACTGATGCCTTGCCACAATAAAAAATACATGTATTTGCATGATTAATGCCTAAGCAAATTAATTTCCATGTGTCCTATCTGTGCTTAGTGTTCATAACAGTTAAACTAAGCTAGCAGTGTTATTAAAAGTCTTATTGAAATATATTCTCAGAACATTATTTAATTACTTTCAAATAACCTATAATTTCTGTTCTCAGAACGTTAATAAAACCTCCCAGGAAAACTTTCAGGGAACCATAGTAAAACATTATCAGAACCTCACTGAAACCTAAAAATGTACGTTCCCAGAAAAGGTGAAATCACTTCCGTTCTCAGAACATTTAAAAACCTTTCTCTTTCACCGGTCAGGAAACGTATGGCTTCGTTCTCAGAACCAATGGGAAACCAAAAAAATATGTTCCCACAACTTCCAAGGAATCAAATATGCTAGCTGGGGGGCCTTTAAAATGTTTCTTCCCAGGGCCCGAGACTTGGTTTGTCTGGCCATGCTCTGCCGAAGTCATAGTAAAACACCTTGTATGCTATTTCTATCTCCCTCGAGTTATGAGGGGGTCCCTGATGAATGTGCTATCACAAAAGGGTTTCCCAGCCCCAGAAATGTGAGAACCTGACCTAGCGAACGAAGCAATTCTCCATCCTCATCCGGATGATTTAGCCTTCGGGGGATAGCTGGTGAGAGAGAAAAAAATATATACAGTTTATAAAAAAAGAATGGAAAGAGTCTTGGAAAAGAGTGCCAGCCCCTAATGCACACCCAGTTGGTGCGTTTTTGTCGTGGAAAAGTGTTGTGACTATACAGATTGTTCTATCCTACACTCTGTTTTCCATGGTCCTATGCGCCTTGCAGGATCTTTTGGACGGAGAGAAGGTTCATCTTGTTAAGTTCATTTTGCCGCTTTCTCGGCCTGCCAAGGCCCCGACAGTGATACATAACTGTAGTGTAGTCTCTAAGGGGGGCACGTCGCTTACGCCAAGTCTTTAAGCATTTAGCTTGTCCTGGGACGTGACTATTGTGCTTAAATCGTGGCAACGTTATATACCTCCTTTCGCTTTACTACTGCCCTTGGCGTCCCTAAGCGTATGGGTGGACTGTGCTCGACCAGCAAATGCCCACAGTCTGCCCAGGGATTTTTCAGGTTAATGTACTAAACCAATCTTTGGCCCGGTTGACTTTTTCCCTATTGTTACACCTTTGAGCCTATGGCTTTTCGCCTGTCGCCTTACCTAGAAGGGTGTCCCTGTCGTTGTCCAGTATGTACGGTTCGCATTTACTTGGATTGTAGGAGAGCTCGGGCAAGGGTGTCATGCTCTTTACTCATTGGGCAAACACCCTTGGAAGAAGGTGGGCCCATCTCTTTCAGCAATATCCTGCTGGATCATGGGACCATTATATTTATTTATAATATTGCAAGGGTGATAGCCTTTGGAGGGGCCTGAATGGGCCCTCTCCTACAGAGGGGTTTACCTCTTTGACACTGTTTTTGGGACATCTCATTATACAGAGATTTTGTGCTTCCCCTCACTTTGTTATGAGGTTGCTCCCAACGGGTTGTCTCTGCACCTTCTCGGAGCGTACTCCCTTAGTTTCGGGACCTCTGAGGGTGGCTTCGGAAAGCCTGTTTTGCAATACAGGAGTTGGCCATATCCCCACATGTGATACATCGAAATGAGTATTTGAAAGAGAACTTAACGTTACTTGCGTAACCCCAGTTATCTGACAATATGAGTGAGATGTAGCACCGCATTCAGAGCGAGAGGAAGAGAAGCATGCTTGAGAATAACCAGAGGGTGGGAGACTGGCTCCTTTGTGGAAGTGAGAGTCTCACCTCATTTGCCACTTTACCTGTCTATCTCCAACAGACGCTTTTGATAGGTACTTCAGAGAGAGTAGGCAGTCCTAGCGAACCCCTCACTCATATTATCAGAGAACCAGGGTTATGCAAGTAACTTTACGTTTTTCACACTTATGGTAGATTAAGAAAGACCTGACACAGTTTCTCCTGACCTGGCTCCAGCCTGACACGGAATGGAGGGCTAACGCTAAAAACAACAGTGACGTTATCATAATGGAATTTTCCGATGGGGATTAAAGCCTTTAAAAAAAAATTGAGTTATTTAACCAACGACCTTAACTCTGACCTTGTAACTGGCTAGCTAATAGTAGTCATATGACAAGAGAAAACCTGGATAAAGGATCAAGATGACCTGCTAAAGAAGACGGTAACGTTAGCCAGTTGGGCAAATCCGTCCGGATGCTAGTCATGCTACTGTCAACTTGGCTACAGTAACATCCAAACCCGGATCACATGAGCTCCAGATAATTTCCAGTCAGTTATCATTAGGAAGACCTGTCAAGGGACATCACTGAGGCCAAACGGCGGTGTCGTTTAACTATACACACACACGGCTAACAGGTCAATGGCTAACCAACTAGGCCAGGTCTATCAGGTATACAGTAACTAACTAATAAGCTTCCCCCCCCCCCCCTTTACTCTCTCACTCTCTCTCTCTCTCTTTCTCTCTTTCTCTCTCTCTCCTTTTTTTCCTTCACCTTCCCAGAGGACTGGATGCCCTTGATCATGGCGAGGCAGACCATGGACCAGGCGGCCAGCAGACAGATGGTCATCCTCCAGTTGAGGCCTCCGCTCTCAGAGATGGAGTCAGAGATATTCAAAGCCTCACGGTACCAGTAGTAGGTGGTGGCCGAACTCTTCTCACACTCAGCCACCACAACTGGAGGGAGGAGGGACAGACAAAACGGTGGTTGTTACTGATTAAACTAGAGCACACTTTATAATGGATTACTGTATGACTATAGTATGGCTAATGCCTTACTGTATCACTTTCACTGGGGGGTATCTAAACACTATGACTTTATTACATGCTTTTTTATGAACTTGTATGCTAGTTATGAAGAGCCACCTGTATAGTTCTTGCCTCTTGTGTCATGAAGGTGTGAGCATGTGCTGGATGAAGGTGAGTGTGTGTGTCTTACACATAGTCGTTTTGTTTTTGACCAGGGGACACTCGTGCCATGGCAGAGGCTGCTGGAAGGACTGGGAGAAGTAGAACAGACTCCACCCAATGATCACATTGTAGTAGAGGGCCACAAAGAAGCACACCTGCAGAACAAAAAGTTATAGTGTTGAATCCACACACAGCAAATTTGAGATCAGAATTTTAACACCCACAATGTTAAATTCAACACTTTCTTAGAAATTATATATGACCCACCAAAATAGTGTTCAACTAACACTTTTCAAGGTGTTGATAAACTAATACCCCCAGAGGGTTGGATCCCTAACACTGTGGGTGTTGCAAATTCCGACTTGTGACAGAGACATGGGTGTTGCAAATTGTAATTCCTATTGGAATCCAGCCATAGGGAGGATATTCAATAATTGGAACTTCTTATCACCCATAATCTGCATTCAGAATGAGTGCTATGGTTAGGAACTTAAACTAAATCACCTAAACCATCTAAACTGGAACAATGGGTGCAATAAACCCAACCCCAGTAATGGGTGCAATAAACCCAACCCCAGTAATGGGTGCAATAAACCCAACCCCAGTAATGGGTGCAATAAGCCCAACCACTTACAGATTGGATTAGTTTAGAAAATGTTGAGTTATTTATCTTAGATCAATTAATCAATCAATGTGCATGCAGAAACATACAGTGAGGGAAAAAGGTATTTGATCCCCTGCTGATTTTGTACGTTTGCCCACTGACAAAGAAATGATCAGTCTATAATTTTAATGGTAGGTTTATTTGAACAGTGAGAGACAGAATAACAACAAAAAAAAATTGTAAATTGATTTGCATTTTAATGAGGGAAATAAGTATTTGACCCCCTCTCAATCAGAAAGATTTCTGGCTCCCAGGTGTCTTTTATACAGGTAACAAACTGAGATTAGGAGCACACTCTTAAAGGGAGTGCTCCTAATCTCAGTTTGTTAACTGCATAAAAGTCTGTCCACAGAAGCAATCAATCAATCAGATTCCAAACTCTCCACCATGGCCAAGACCAAAGAGCTCTCCAAGGATGTCAGGGACAAGATTGTAGTCCTACACAAGGCTGGAATGGGCTACAAGACCATCGCCAAGCAGCTTGGTGAGAAGGTGACAACAGTTGGTGCGATTATTCGCAAATGGAAGAAACATAAAATAACTGTCAATCTCCCTCGGCCTGGGGCTCCATGCAAGATCTCACCTCGTGGAGTTGCAATGATCATGAGAACGGTGAGGAATCAGCCCAGAACCCAGAGGATCTTGTCATTGATCTCAAGGCAGCTGGGACCATAGTCACCAAGAAAACAATTGGTAACACACTACGCCGTGAAGGACTGAAATCCTGCAGCGCCCGCAAGGTCCCCCTGCTCAAGAAAGCACATATACATGCCCGTCTGAAGTTTGCAAATGAACATCTGAATGATTCAGAGGAGAACTGGGTGAAAGTGTTGTGGTCAGATGAGACCAAAATCGAGCTCTTTAGCATCAACTCAAGAAGAAGCACATTAAGGTCCCGGAGTGGCCTAACCAGTCTCCAGACCTTAATCCCATAGAAAATCTGTGGAGGGAGCTGAAGGTTCGAGTTGCCAAACGTCAGCCTCTAAACCTTAATGACTTGGAGAAGATCTGCAAAGAGGAGTGGGACAAAATCCCTCCTGAGATGTGTGCAAACCTGGTGGCCAACTACAAGAAACGTCTGACCTCTGTGATTGTCAACAAGGGTTTTGCCACCAAGTACTAAGTCATGTTTGCAGAGGGGTCAAATACTTATTTCCCTCATTAAATGCATATCAATTTATAACATTTTTGACATGCGTTTTTCTGGATTTTTTTGTTGTTATTCTGTCTCTCACTGTTCAAATAAACCTACCATTAAAATTATAGTCTGATCAACGTACAAAATCAGCAGGGGATCAAATACTTTTTTCCCTCACTGTATATATATATATATATATATATATATATATATATATATTTTTTTACTATTATAAAAATCTACCTGCAACAAAGCATGCTAGGAAATAGGATAATGAGACGGAAATTAACTCAACAACCACACCATGAAGTGTTGATTAAATTTCAATCCCACTGGTGTCAACCCCACTAGAATCATCACTCAGATATAATACTCACAACACTTTTACCTCAACACCGAGTGTAACTGATTGAGGTTTACAACTGGGTTATGGTGATGCCCATCTACTGTCAGATTATTGTTAGAGAGCAGGCAGAGGCCGAGATGCAATTTGGTTTAAGAGTCTTTATATATTCAGGTGATGGAGATGATATATGGCATGGAATGACTGACAGTTGTTGACATGAGACTTGGTTTTTTGAATTGGATGGACTAGCCAGTGGGTCTGTAGCAGTGAAGGCTGCTGAGGGGAGGACTGCTCATAATAATGGCTGGAAGGGAGCAAATGGAATGGCATCAAACACAAGGAAACCATGTGTTCGATGTATTTGATACCATTCCACTAATTCTGCTCCAGCCATTACCACGGGCCCGTCCTCCACAATTAAGGTGCTACCAACCTCCTGTGGTCTGTAGAGTATGTTTGTATGGCTTCTATTTCCATGATGCATACTGTTTTTTGGTGTGAGAGTTGTATGACGTGCCCAACTGCTCAACTTTGTCTTGGTGAAGGACCCCGGATTGAAAAGAGGTGCCCTCAAACCTGCCCGTTTAAATACCTGGCCATAGCGTTATATAGAGGGCACACGTGACCATAGAGTTGGGTAGGGGGCACACCTGCCACGAATGCCCTCTCCCCACCTCCACATCACCAATCAGGGAATTCTGAACACAGAAGTTTTAACCACAAATTTGCTGTGCACAATCCAAATCATTACTACCTGAACACAATCAATCCATCTAAAGTTATCGTTATAATGCTTTTATCAATAAAAACATCTTCACAGCAACTTGACAGCAACCCAAACCTAAACCCCAGAGGAGCAAGGCCAAGGCAACACACTAGTTAAACAACACAGACCCTGAATACAGAACACTGATCTACATTAAACCATGCTCAACCAACATGTGCTGCCAGTTAGTTCGCAGAAAGGTGTCAGTGCCCTATTTAAAACCCAGAATTTCCTCTGCTCTAACCTGTTACTCTTTAAAGCAGCTTGTCCTTTCTCAATTATTTTCCTTTGTCTGTCTCTCTCTCTGTGTGTGTGTGTGTGTGTGTGTGTATGAACACAAAAAATCCTTCTCGTGTGTGTGTGCTTTCCCCTTTTTCTAAGATGTGGTGCCCACAGTGGTAGTGGTAGTGCCCCTGACTTACCACACAGCTGGCAAACCCGATGCCCCCCAGACGAGGGCTGATGTAGTTCCACACCCCGATGCTGCCTCTGCGGATCCGCTGCCCCACTGACAGCTCCAGGAAGAACAGGGGGATGCCAATCACGATCAGCAGGATTAGGTAGGGCACCAGGTACGCCCCTGTGGAGAAGGAGAAACAGTGTCAGAAACGGTCTCTCTCTCTCTCTCTCTCTCTCTCTCTCTCTCTTTCTCTCTCTTTCTCTCTCTCACACCATGTAGTGACTGCACACCACACCAGTTTCTGCCTCAGTGTGTCCTAGCATGACTCTGGTAATTTTTCCTCATCATGGTGTGTGGTGTCACCAAATAGTATATCCAGTTGGAATTTACTCAGGTCTCAAATTACCCAAATTGAGCTGTGGCTACTTGAGTCCACATCAGAGAGATTACATTCCTTATTTCCTTTATAGACAGCTTCAGGGAGAATTACTAAGACACAGCCCATAATAGCACAGCTCTGTAAAACACAGGGTCTGTCTGTCTGTGAAGATACTCTCAGGGCATCTGGACATACTCAGAAGACATGAGACTGCAACTGGAAGACACATGGTAGATTGAGATAATACAAAAACCTTTGTTCAAAGGAAATTGTGGTTGGCATTTAGCATGTACTATAATCTTTGTATGTTTTTACTGCCAGAGCCATATTGCCAAAAGTAACTGGAATAGATTAATACAATGTATAGCCAGTAGATCACTTGAATAAAAACAAACCTCCAAGCCTTTAACTGTTTTGCTTCAAACTAATATTCTGGCAACTGCAAAGTCAATCTTGGTGAATCAGAAATAAGGATATCACATCTGACAATAAGCTATAGTTTCAAAACAAAGGTTGTTTTGTCTGGCTTGCCTTTAAGGAAAACAGAAGAAAAGTCACTGGTTGAGGAAAATTCTCTGGTTTCAGCCTCCCAAAACCAAGATTCGCTGTCCCGGAATGGCAGATAGGCCTACTTGTCAACCAGGAAGCAAAGCACATTGGCAATTCATCTATTATTTGAAACCTACTGTATCTTCTCTCATATTGGCTCAACATGTTTTCAACCCCACTGATAGTTTTTCACCGTTATTCAACCTTTATTGAACCTTTAGTGGCCACACACATCTCCAACTCAATCAAGTTTGTTGACGACACAACAGTGGTAGGCCTGATTACCAACAATGACGAGACCGCCTACAGGGAGCAGGAACGAGCCCTGGTGAAGTGGTGCCAGGAAAATAACCTCTCCCTCAATGTCAACAAAACAAAGGAGCTGATCATGGACTACAGGACACAGCAGAGAGAGCATGCCCCCATCCACATCGACGGAGCCACAGTGGAGAGAGTCAAAAGCTTCAAGTTCCTCAGCGTTCACATCAATGATGACCTGAAATGTTCCATTCACACAGACGGTTTGGTGAAGAAGGCACAACAGCACCTCTTCAATCTCAGGAGGCTGAATAATTTTATATTGGCCCCAAGACCCTCACAATCTTCTACAGATGCATCATTGAGAGCACCCTGTCGGGCTGTATCACCGCCTGGTACGGCAATTGCACCGTCCGCAACCGGGATTGTGCGGTCAGCCCAACACATCATCGGGGGCACACTGCTTGCCCTCCAGGACATCTACAGTACCCGGTGTCACAGGAAGGCCAAGAAGATCATCAAGAAGCTCAGCCACCCGAGCCACAGCCTGTTCACCCTGCTACCATCTAGAAGGAGGAGACAGTACAGGTGCATCAAAGTTGGGACCGAGAGACTGATAAACAGCTTTTATCTCCAGGCCATCAGACTGTTAAATAGTCACCACTAGCCAGCCTCCGTCCAGTACCTTGCCCTAAACCTTAGTCACTGTTATTAGCCGACTACCACCCGGTACTATACCCTGCAAGAGACTGCTTTGCCCTATGTACAAAGAGTAATTGAACACGGGTCACTTTAATAATGATTACATACTGTTTTACCCACTTTATATGTATATACTGTATTCTAGTCATGGCTCATCCTACATAACTACTGCTGTTCACACCTTTTCTAATAATATACAGTCAATGGCCTACACACAATACCCCATAATGTCAAAGTGGAATTATGCTTTTCTAAATTTTACAAAAATTACAAATGAAAAGTTGAAATGTATTAAGTCAATAAGTATTCAACCCCTTTGTTATGGCAAGTCTAAATAAGTTCAGGAGTAAAAATTGGCTTAACAAGTCACATAATATGTTGCATGGAGTCACTGTGTGCGATAATAGTGTTTAACATTTAAAAAAGTATGACTACCTCATCTCTCTACCCAACACATACAATTATCTGTAAGATCCCTCAGTCGAGCAATGAATTTGAAACACAGATTCAACCACAAAGACCAGGTTTCCAATACCTTGCAAAGAAGGGCACCTATTGGTAGATGGGTATTGAATATCCCTTTGAGCATGGTGAAGTTATTAATTACACTTTGGATGGTGTATCAATACACCCAGTCACTACAAAGATACAGGTGTCCTTCCTAACTCAGTTGCCGGAGAGGAAGGAAACCACTCAGGGATTTCACCATGAGGCCAATGGTGAATTTAATACAGTTAATACAGGTTTACTGATCTTTCTTATACCTCTCAGATATAGGATAGACACTTAAGAACAAACTTCCTTTAGATATTTTTTTGGGGCACTACCTGTTGTTCCACGTAGTGAATCTGATATTAATTGCATTTGTATGGGCTAATAGCAGTAAGGCCAAATAATATTTTTCATCAAATAATTGTTTTATATATTTTTTTATACTTCAAGGAGTCTTAAAATCAAATAGCAAAATTATCCTTGGTATGACCTTAAAACAATTCCATATAGGGTGCATTCTGAAAGTATTCAGACCCCTTCACTTTCTCCACATTTTGTTACGTTACTGCCTTATTCTAAAATTGATTAAATATCTTCACACAATACCCCATAATGACAAAGCAAAAACTGGTTTTTAGACATTTTTGCAAATGTATTAAAAATTAAAAACAGAAATACCTTATTTACATAAATATTCAGACCCTTTGCTATGAGACTGGAAATTGAGCTCAGGTACATCCTGTTTCCATTGATCATCCTTAAGATGTTTCTACAACTTGATTGGAGTCCACTTGTGGTAAATGCAATTGATTGGACATGATTTGGAAAGGGACACACATGTCTATATAAGTTCCCACAGTTGACAGTGCATGACTGAGCAAAAACCAAGCCATGAGGTCAAAGGAATTGTCCGTAGAGCTCCGAGACAGGATTGTGTAGAGGCACAGATCTGGGGAAGGGTACCAAAACAATTCTGCAGCATTGAAGGTCCCTAAGAACACAGTTTTTCAGCGGCAGGGACTGGGAGACTAGTCAGGATCGAGGGAAAAATGAACGGAGCAAAGTACAGAGAGATCCTTGATGAAAACCTGCTCCAGAGCGCTCAGGACCTCAAACTGGGGTGAAAGTTCATCTTCCAACAGGACAACGACCCTAAGCAAACAGCCAAGACAACGCAGGAGTGGCTTTGGGAAAAGTCTCTGAATGTCCTTGAGTGGCCCAGCCAGAGCCCGGACTTGAACCCGATCGAACATCTCTGGAGAGACCTGAAAATAGCTGTGCAGCGATGCTCCCCATCCAACTTGACAGAGCTTGAGAGGATCTGCAGAGAAGAGAGAAACTCCCCAAATACAGGTGTGCCAAGCTTGTAGCGTCATACCCAAGAAGACTCGAGGCTGTAATCACTGCCAAAGGTGCTTCAACAAAGTACTGAGTAAAGGGTCTGAATACTTATGTAAATGTAATATTTCAGTGTTTTATTTTGAATAAATTTGCAAACATTTCTAAAAACCTGTTTTTGCTTTGTCATTATGGGGTGTAGATTGATGAGGGGAAAAAACAATTTTACTCATTTTAGAATAAGGCTGTAACTTCACAAAATGTGGAAAAAGTCAAGGGGTCTGAATAATTTCCAAATGTACTATAGCTTAGTAGAACCCTCCCCCTCCCCCGGCTTAGACAGGGCTTAGACTCTTATGGGTTAATGGTTGTGATTGGAAAAAACGGAGGATAGATCAACAACATTGTAGTTACTCCAAATAATGTAACTATTAGAGTTTGATGAGTCTGACACTGTGGCTGTGGCTGGTTTAACTTGTGAACAGTTTATTTTCTGTAACACACCTGATAGTCACTATATGGTTTTGGTTCTTCCATCCCTAAGCCCCCTACATTGAGTCTGAGAACTGCCAGCACACAGCTGACATTAAGGAATGTTGTCCACAAAAGTAGTTGCGTTGTGTATAGTATTTGTAATTTATCCTTGAAAATCATATTTTGCCATTCCATTGTGTGGGTTGTTGTCTTACAGTTGATGTATCTTGTGTCATTGGGGCTGATCATGATGATTAGGGGGTAAGGGGGTATTATTATTTGACTTTCCATCTCCTTTTGTCTTTCCACTATCATCAAGCTGTAATGATGGACATTTTAGAAAATTCAACATCTACTCTGTCTGCACAGCTTCCCGGGCAATCACCGCGGCAGGAATGCTGTGATACAAAATCAGCTTTCCCAAGGCAAAGAAGGGGGGATATGATGTGAAGCCTGTGAAAACAGACCCAACATACTGTAAGTCATAGTTATTCATTTAAAATCAATTGAGCATTTCAGGCACACACATTCCAAATACAAAAGTAAAACTTGCGCTTAACTTTTTATTTTATTTTTTCCCCTTACTAGCTCTGACTTTGCTGATAGCTACTTTATTGAGGAAAAATGTACTTACTATGACTGTGATATCTGTTTGTCCCACTTAGCTATCTTAAGACGAATGCAATAACTGTAAGTCGCTCTGGATAAGAGCGTCTGCTAAATGACTCAAATGTAAACATGTAAATCAATCTCTGTAGTTGGTTGCATTTCCTAAAGCCTAAGTAATTCACTTTTACGTGATATGATATCACATTTTGTTACTTTGCATTGTTATTTTCAAGCATTCGGATGGGAGATGAGTGTTACAAACTGTACGAATCAATGGGGTCATACACACTGTAGTGTGGCCGGGTGCAATTTGACAGAGCTTGAAGATTTTAGAAAATAATCATGGGCGAATATTGTACAATCCAGGTGGGCAAAACTCTTAGAGACTTATCCAGAAAGACTCACAGCTCTAATCGGCTAAATGGGTGAAAAATAAATCTATTTAACCCGATCCTGTAGGTTCATGCTCTACAACATTCGGAGTACGACCCTGCCTTACACAGGAAGCGGCACAGGTCCTAATCCAGGCACTTGTCATCTCCCGTCTGGATTACTGCAACTCGCTGTTGGCTGGGCTCCCTGCCTGTGCCATTAAACCCCTACAACTCATCCAGAATGCCGCAGCCCGTCTGGTGTTCAACCTTCCCAAGTTCTCTCACGTCACCTCCGTACCTTCAGGCTCTGATTAGTCCCTACACCCAAACGAGGGCATTGCGTTCATCCACCTCTGGCCTGCTGGCTCCCCTACCTCTGCTGAAGCACAGTTCCCGCTCAGCCCAGTCAAAACTGTTCGCTGCTCTGGCACCCCAATGGTGGAACAAGCTCCCTCACGACGCCAGGACAGCGGAGTCACTCACCACCTTCCGGAGACATTTGAAACCCCACCTCTTTAAGGAACACCTGGGATAGGATAAAGTAATCCTTCTAACCCCCCCCTTACCCCACCCCCCCCACCCAAAAAAAAAAAATATGTTAAAGTGGTTATCCCACTGGCTATAAGGTGAATGCACCAATTTGTAAGTCGCTCTGGATAAGAGCGTCTGCTAAATGACGTAAATGTAAATGTTTTGAATTCAGGCTGTAACACAACAAAATGTGTAATACGTCAAGGGGTATGAATACTTTCTGAAGGCACAGTATCTTGATTAGATAAGTATTCAGCCCCCTGAGTCAATACATGTTAGAATCACCTTTGGCAGCGATTATAGCTGTGAGTCTTTGTGCAACATTTGTCTGGGTAAGAATCATCTAATAACTATAAAATATTTATACAATATTTATCTGGACACTTTCTATTTCTGATATTGCTACTATGCAAATATGCAATTCACTGTACCATTTACACCTGCTGTATCCTGTGCATGTGACAAATAAATGTTGATTTTATTTGATATAGTGTGTGTTTACCAGAGATGGTAATGTAAAGAACAACATGACCTGCACCAAACTCAGATTTGGATATAGGCCTAGAACTAGATAAAGTGTTTTTTTGCTACTACTTTCAACACTTTTAGTCTTGAAATCTTTGGTTGTTTACTACACTACCTTACTCACTCTGTTTAGCACATGGCCTCATGTGAATTCTTAAAGAGATGGGTGGGGTGAAGGCTTAAGAGGGTGTGAACTGTCACGGTTTCGGCCGAGGCGGCTCCTCCTCCTTGTTCGGGCAGGTTTCGCCGGTCGTCGTCTCCGGAGTTCTAGCTGCCACCGCTCGATGTTTCTTGTTTGTTTGGTTTTGTCTGTTAGTCACACCTGTTTTGTGTTAGGTCTCATTTAGCACCCTATTTAGTTTCCTTGTTGTTAGGTTTGTGTTGTGTGTAATTGTTCGTGTCGTGGTTGCGCTACCCGTGTCGGTACGCTATTTTTCCTGAGCTTCCTCCTTGTTGTGTGAGGAGAGATTTACGCACCTGTGTGTGCGCTTGTATTTACGCCTGTGTGCGTCTTTTTGCCTCCGGGCTGTTTTGGATTAATTTTCGTGCTCAGTAAAGTCTTGTTGGACTTACCCTCTGCTGCCTGCGCCTGATTCTACACCACACCCATACACAGCACCGTGACAGAATTACACACCCTAGAATGGAATCAGCAGGAGCACCCGTCGACCCCATGGAGGAGCGTCTCCTTGGACACGAGCACCGGATCAACGGTATCGGGCACGCCTTGGAGGGCGTCATGGACACCCTTCGTCGATGGGAGACCAGCGGGGTTTCCATAGCCCCACCTATCGCACCATCACCTTCACCACCGGACAACCAGCCCGTCCATCGACCGGAACCCAGTGGGATTCGGCTCTCGCTCCCGAGGGCGTACGACGGCACCGCTGCCGGGTGTCAGGGGTTCCTCCTACAAGTGGAGCTCTACATTGCCACCATACACCCGGCGCCCTCGGGATACGAGAGCGTTTCCGCCCTCATCTCCTGTCTCACCGGCAAGGCGTTGGAGTGGGCCAACGCCGAGTGGAGGGGAATAGACGCCGCCACAGTCACCTATGCGGAGTTCTCCCGTCGCTTCCGTGCGGTCTTCGACCATCCACCAGAGGGGAGAGCGGCGGGGGAACGTCTATTCCACCTCCGACAGGGGATGAGGAGCGCTCAGGCGTTTGCGCTGGAGTTCCGGACTCTAGCGGCTGATGCGGGGTGGAATGAGAGGGCCCTCATAGACCACTTCAGATGTAGCCTTCGGGAGGACATCCGCAGGGAGTTAGCCTGCAGGGACACTACACTAACATTTGACCAGCTGGTGGACATGGCCATTCGACTGGACAACCTGCTGGCGACCCGCGGACGTCCCAGGTGGGGGCCCCCCATTCCACCCTCCAGCGCCTCCGAGCAGTGTCCGATGGAGCTTGGAGGTGCTGGCGCTAGAGGGAGAAGAGGTAGGAGCCCGAGGGGGGCAGTCTCCTGCACCAAGTGTGGGCGCGGAGGGCACACCGCGGCTAGGTGCTGGGGAGGGTCCCCTGGTGAGGGAGAGAGCAGGTCATACAGTGGGGAGTCCACCCAGGTGAGTAGGCGCCCTACTTACCCAGAGCTTTCTGTCGTTCACATTACCTTACCTGTTTGTTTCCCACAGGTTGCACCTCGGTCCCAGCATAAGGCGCTAGTCGATTCAGGCGCAGCTGGGAATTTTGTAGACCGGAGATTCTGTGTTAAGTTAGGGATTCCCCTCCTTCCAGTCGAAAAACCCTTTCCTGTACATGCCCTAGATAGTCGTCCGTTAGGATCTGGGTTGATTGGGGAGGTCACAGCGCCACTTAGGATGATGACGCAGGGGGGTCATGAGGAGACGATTCAACTCTATCTTATCGACTCTCCTGCGTATCCGGTGGTACTGGGGCTTCCCTGGTTGATGACCCATGATCCTACTATTTCGTGGCGAGAGAAAGCTCTTAAAGGGTGGTCTGCTCAGTGTGAGGGGTTATGTCTGGGTGTTTCCGTAGGGGCGACCTCGGTGGAGAGTCCGAACCAGATGCCAGCACTGCACATTCCTCCTGAGTATGAGGATTTGGCGCTCGTGTTCAGTAAGACCAGAGCGGCACAGTTGCCACCTCATAGACAAGGGGATTGTGCGATAGACCTCCAGACAGGAGCAGCGCTTCCGCGGAGCCATGTGTATCCTTTGTCACAGGAGGAGAAAAGGGCAATGGAGACTTACATTGCCGAGTCTCTGAGACAGGGATACATACGGGCCTCCACTTCTCCCGCGTCCTCGAGCTTATTTTTTGTGAAGAAAGGTTTGCGTCCGTGTATTGATTACCGCTGTCTCAATCAGGTGACGGTGAAGTACAGCTATCCACTTCCTCTGATTGGGACCATGACGGAGTCCTTACACGGGGCAAGGTTCTTCACAAAATTGGATCTCAGGAGCGCATATAACTTGGTGCGCATTAGGGAGGGCGATGAGTGGAAGACAGCATTTAGTACTACATCCGGCCATTACGAGTATCTCGTCATGCCATATGGGTTAATGAATGCTCCATCAGTCTTCCAATCGTTTGTAGACGAACTTTTCCGGGACATGCAGGCGCAGGGAGTAGTGGTGTACATAGATGATATTCTTGTGTACAGTGCTACTCGGGCCGAGCATGTAGCCCTGGTGCGCAGGGTATTGAGGAGACTGTTGGAGCATGACCTGTATGTCAAAGCTGAGAAATGTCTGTTCTTCCAGGAGTCAGTTTCCTTTTTGGGTTACCAGTTGTCTGCGTCAGGGGTGAGAATGGAGGTGGACCGAGTGTCCGCCGTGCGTAATTGGCAAACCCCAACTACGGTTAAAGAGGTGCAGCGGTTCTTGGGTTTTGCGAATTACTACCGGAGGTTTATCCGGGGTTTTGGACAGGTGGCAGCTCCCATAACGTCTCTTCTGAAGGGGGGTCCGGTGCGCTTGCAGTGGTCAGCTGAGGCGGACAGGGCCTTTGGGAGACTGAAGGACCTGTTTACCTCGGCCCCGGTGTTGGCGCACCCGGATCCCACTTTACCCTTCCAAGTTGAGGTGGACGCGTCTGAGGCCGGTATCGGGGCAGTTCTTTCTCAACGATCCGGTACACCACCTAAGCTCCGCCCCTGTGCTTTTTATTCTAAGAAGCTCAGTCCGGCGGAGCGGAATTATGACGTAGGGGACAGGGAGCTGTTAGCCGTAGTACAGGCCCTAAAGGTGTGGAGGCATTGGCTTGAGGGGGCTCAGCACCCTTTCCTCATTCTGACCGACCATCGTAACCTGGAGTACATTCGGGCAGCTAGGAGACTGAATCCTCGCCAGGCTCGATGGACCATGTTTCTCGCCCGGTTTGTGTTCAAGATCACTTACATCCCTGGGTCCCAGAACGGGAAGGCAGATGCTCTGTCCCGTCGGTATGACACGGAGGAGAGGTGCGTGGAGTCCATTCCCATACTACCGGAGTCTTGTCTGGTGGCACCGGTGGTGTGGGAGGTCGATGCGGAGATCGAGCGGGCGTTACGCACCGAGCCTAGTCCTCCACAGTGTCCGGTGGGTCGGGTGTACGTCCCGCTCGAGGTCCGGGATCGGCTGATTTATTGGGCTCACACGTCCCCCTCCTCTGGACATCCGGGTATTGGCCGGACGGTGCACTGCCTTAGTACGAAGTACTGGTGGCCAACGTTAGCCAGGGATGTGAGGGTTTATGTCTCCTCCTGCTCAGTGTGTGCCCAGTGTAAGGCGCCCAGACACTTGCCCAGGGGTAAATTACAGCCCCTGCCCGTTCCACAACGACCCTGGTCTCACCTCTCGGTGGATTTTGTTACCGATCTTCCCTCCTCACAGGGGAATACCACCATCCTGGTCGTTGTGGATCGGTTCTCGAAGGCCTGTCGTCTCCTTCCCATGCCGGGTCTTCCTACGGCCCTACAGACCGCTGAGGCTCTATTTACTCACGTCTTCCGGCATTACGGGGTGCCCGAGGATATAGTGTCCGATCGAGGCCCCCAGTTTACCTCCAGAGTCTGGAGAGCATTTATGGAACGTTTGGGGGTCTCGGTGAGCCTTACCTCGGGTTACCACCCGGAGAGTAATGGGCAGGTTGAACGAGTCAACCAGGATGTGGGTAGGTTTCTGAGGTCATATTGTCAGGGCCGGCCGGAGGAGTGGGCGAGATATGTGCCCTGGGCCGAGATGGCACAGAACTCTCTCCGCCACTCCTCCACCCAACTAACCCCTTTCCAGTGTGTATTAGGGTACCAGCCGGTTCTGGCACCATGGCATGAGAGCCAGATCGAGGCCCCCGCTGTGGATGAGTGGGTGCGGCGCTCGGAGGAGACGCTCTCAACCAGAAACCTGCCCCTCCGCCTGCCCTGCCGGAAGCTGGGTCGGCGGTTTGTGGGGCCTTTTAAAGTCCTGAGGAGATTGAACGAGGTGAGTTACAGGTTAGAACTACCTATTGATTACAAGAATATTAACCCCTCGTTCCATGTGTCTCTCCTCAGGCCGGTGGTAGCTGGTCCACTCCAGGACTTTGAGATTGAGGAGACTCCTCCGCCCCCGTTGGACATCGAGGGGGCTCCGGCGTACACGGTTCGGACCATCCTGGATTCGAGACACCGGATGGGGGGTCTCCAATATCTCGTGGAGTGGGAGGGGTACGGTCCGGAGGAGCGGTGCTGGGTGCCAAGGAGGGACATTCTGGATCCGTCCCTGATGACCGAATTCCATCGTGGTCATCCTACGCGCCCTGCTCCGCGTCCCCCTGGTCGTCCCCGAGGCCGGAGGCGGCGCGCGGCTCCAAGTCAAGGGGGGGGTACTGTCACGGTTTCGGCCGAGGCGGCTCCTCCTCCTTGTTCGGGCAGGTTTCGCCGGTCGTCGTCTCCGGAGTTCTAGCTGCCACCGCTCGATGTTTCTTGTTTGTTTGGTTTTGTCTGTTAGTCACACCTGTTTTGTGTTAGGTCTCATTTAGCACCCTATTTAGTTTCCTTGTTGTTAGGTTTGTGTTGTGTGTAATTGTTTGTGTCGTGGTTGCGCTACCCGTGTCGGTACGCTATTTTTCCTGAGCTTCCTCCTTGTTGTGTGAGGAGAGATTTACGCACCTGTGTGTGCGCTTGTATTTACGCCTGTGTGCGTCTTTTTGCCTCCGGGCTGTTTTGGATTAATTTTCGTGCTCAGTAAAGTCTTGTTGGACTTACCCTCTGCTGCCTGCGCCTGATTCTACACCACACCCATACACAGCACCGTGACATGAACGATGCTGAATGGGTGAACAACACAGGAGGTTGGTGGCACCTTAATTGGGGAGGATGAGCTTGTGGTAATGGCTGGAGCGGAATATTCTCTACTTTTATTCAACGTAAAAAACACAATTTCAACATATGACCGAATCGAGCCGGTCAGTCACAAATGAGTTTACATCCCTGTTAGAGAGCATTTCTCCTTTGTCAAGATAATCCATCCACCTGACAGTTGTGGCATATCAAGAAGCTAATTAAACAGCATAATCATTACACAGGTGCACCGTGTGCTGGTGACCGTAAAAGGCCACTCTAAAATGTGTAGTTTTGTCACACAACTCAATGCCACAGATGTCTCAAGTTTTGAGAGATCGTGCAATTGGCATGCTGACTGCAGGAATGTCCACCAGAGCTGTTGCCAGAGAATTTTATGTTCAATTCTCTACCATAAGCCGCCTCCAATGCAGTTATAGAGAATTTGGCAGTACGTCCAACCAGCCTCACAACCGCAGACCACGTGTAACCACGCCAGCCCAGGACCTCCACATACGGTTTCTTCACCTAAGGGATCATCTGAGAACAGCCACCGGACAGTTGATGAAACTGTGGGTTTGCACAACCGAAGAATTTCTGCAAAAACTGTCATAAAGTGTCTCAGGTAAGGTCCTCTGCATGCTCATCACAGATTAATCCCGGTTTCAACTGTACCGGGCAGATGGCAGTCAGCATGTATGGCATCATTTTGGAGAGTGGTTTGCTGATGTCAACGTTGTCTATATAGTCCAAATCAGGATGATCCATACTTCTTCAAAAATATTTATACCAATCTATTGAATTTACAGGCAACAAACGATCAAATCATTATGGTGGGAGAATATAACACAGTGTTAAGTACCTCAATTGACAGTAAAGGAAATCACTCTACAAACTATCATCACCGTGCCCTTAAGGAAATTACAAATATTATGGACACATTAGAAATAGTGGATATTTGGAGACTAAACAACCCTGACCTAGTGAGATATACATGGAGGAGACTTAATCAAGCTAGTCGTCTTGACTACTTCTGGAAAATACAGGAACTAATAGTGCAGGTAGATAGAAATAGAAACAGTACTACAGAGATACAAAACAAGTTAGAGGAAAAACAAAAAGAACTGGAGGAACTTATTCAAGAACGATTTAATGTAATCTATTACAAAAATAAAGCCCACTGGATGGAATATGGAGAAAAATGCACAAAATTATTTCTGAATCTTCAACACAGGAAAATTATGTGCAGAAACTCGTTACTAAAGACAGAGTCATCCATGATTCTCTGAATTACATTTCAAAGTAGGAAGCTAAATATTTAAAAAATATGTTTTCTTTTTTGTCTCCTCCTCACCCTCTGAATGATGAAGTAAGGAATGATTTCCAAATAATAAAACAATGAAAAATTAACAAATGCACAAAAAATCAGTGCGAAGGCCAGGAATAACTTTTTGAGGCTATTAAATCCTTTCAGTCTGGAGAAATCCCCGGGGCATTATGGCATATCGGTAACATCCATTATTAACTTGTTTTAACTACTTCTAGAGAAATGGTAGTCTGTCAGGTACTCAGCAGGAAGGTCTGATTTCACTACTATTAAAACAAGACCCAGATGGCAAATATAAAGATCCAGTCCAGTCTTACACTTTAATGTTGTGATGCAAAAATACTAGCGAAATGCATAGCACTCAGAATGAAAAAGGTTTTACCAGGTATTGTTCATCCTGATCAGACAGGTTTTTTTACATGGATGATACATTGGAGATAATATACGACAAATACTATAAATAATAGAACAACATGAAACATCTAAGAAGCCAGGCCTGGTATTCATAGTGGATTTTGAAAAGGCCTTTGATTAATTAAAAATGTATATGCCATTTAGCAGATGCTTTTATCCAAAGCGACTTACAGTCATGTGTGCATACATTATTACGTATGGGTGGTCCCGGGGACCGAACCCACTACCCTGGCGTTACCAATTGAGCTACAGAGGACCACCCAAAGTAAGACTGTATTTTATATATAAATACCTGGATTTTTTCAATTTCGGTGAGTCTCTTATTCAATGGGTAAAAGTAATGTATAGCAACCCCAGGTGAAAAATAGTAAATAATGGCTACTTCTCTGAGAGTTTTGAACTGTCAAGACGCGTTAAACAAGGGTGTCCACTGTCACCATATCTATTCGTTATGGCCATCAAAATGCTAACTATTCAAATCAGATCAAATAACAACATTAGAGGATTAGAAATCCAAGGCTTAAAAACAAAGATGTCCATGTATGCCGATGGCTCAAGTTTTAAGTCTGCAAGCTAGATCCCTGCAATGTCTCAATGAAGGTCTAGATAACTTTTCTGGCCTCTCTAGACTAAAACCTAATTATGATTACGTACTGGATCTTTTTAAAAATGCAACTTTTACATTACCCTGCAGTTTACCTATAAAATGGGCTGACGATGAAGTAGACATACTTGATATTAATATAAAAAATATATATAAATGAGCTCTCTACAATGAATTCCAATAGAAAACTAGTCAAAATAGACAAGATCCTTCAACCATGGAGAGGTAAATAGCTGTCTATTTATGGAAAAATTACACTGATTAACTCCTTAGTCATATCTCTCTTTACTCACTAATGGCGCTGCCTACTCCTGATGATTCATTTTTCAAATCATATGAGCAAAAAATATTTCACTTTATCTGGGATGCTAAACCAGACAAGATAAAGTGTGCCTATCTATATAATGAATATGAACTGGGTGGGCTGAGATTATTAAATATAAAAGCACTAAACCTCTCTCTCAAAGCTTCACTTAAACAAAAGTTTTACTTGAACCTGAAATGGTTCTCAAGTAGATTACTAAGAAAAGCTCATCCCTTGTTTAAAAATGGCCTTATTGCCTTTGTGCAGATTGCCATGTCTCATTTTCTTCGGCTTGCAAGCACCCCCTTCCTCCAAACATAACGATGGTCATTATGGCCAAACAGTTCTATTTTTGTTTCATCAGACCAGAGGACATTTCTCCAAAAACTACAATCTTTGTCCCCATGTGCAGTTGCAAAACGTAGTCTGGCTTTTTTTAATGGCGGTTTTGGAGCAGTGGCTTCTTCCTTGCTGAGCGGCCTTTCAGGTTATGTCGATATAGGACTCGTTTTACTGTGGATATAGATACTTTTGTACCTGTTTCCTCAAGCATCTTCACCATGTCCTTTGCTGTTGTTCTGGGATTGATTTGCACTTTTGGCACCAAAGTACGTTCATCTCTAGGAGACAGAACGCGTCTCCTTCCTGAGCGGTATTTAGGCTGCGTGGTCCCATGGTGTTTATACTTGCGTACTATTGTTTGTACAGATGAACGTGGTACCTTCAGGCGTTTGGAAATTGCTCCCAAGGATGAACCAGGCTTGTGGAGGTCTACAATTATTTTTCTGAGGTCTTGACTGATTTCTTTTGATTATCCAATGATGTCAAGCACTGAGTGGCACTGAGTTTGAAGGTAGGCTTGAAATACAGTGAGGGAAAAAAGTATTTGATCCCCTGCTGATTTTGTACGTTTGCCCACTGACAAAGAAATGATCAGTCTATAATTTTAATGGTAGGTTTATTTGAACAGTGAGAGACAGAATAACAACAACAAAATCCAGAAAAACGCATGTCAAAAATGTTATAAATTGATTTGCATTTTAATGAGGGAAATAAGTATTTGACCCCCTCTCAATCAGAAGGATTTCTGGCTCCCAGGTGTCTTTTATACAGGTAACGAGCTGAGATTAGGAGCACACTCTTAAAGGGAGTGCTCCTAATCTCAGCTTGTTACCTGTACAAAAGACACCTGTCCACAGAAGCAATCAATCAATCAGATTCCAAACTCTCCACCATGGCCAAGACCAATGAGCTCTCCAAGGATGTCAGGGACAAGATTGTAGACCTACACAAGGCTGGAATGGGCTACAAGACCATCGCCAAGCAGCTTGGTGAGAAGGTGACAACAGTTGGTGCGATTATTCGCAAATGGAAAAAACATAAAATAACTGTCAATCTCCCTCGGCCTGGGGCTCCCTGCAAGATCTCACCTCATGGAGTTGCAATGATCATGAGAACGGTGAGGAATCAGCCCAGAACTACACGGGAGGATCTTGTCAATGATCTCAAGGCAGCTGGGACCATAGTCACCAAGAAAACAATTGGTAACACACTACGCCGTGAAGGACTGAAATCCTGCAGCGCCCGCAAGGTCCCCCTGCTCAAGAAAGCACATATACAGGCCCGTCTGAAGTTTGCCAACGAACATCTGAATGATTCAGAGGAGAACTGGGTGAAAGTGTTGTGGTCAGATGAGACCAAAATCGAGCTCTTTGGCATCAACTCAACGTGTTTGGAGGAGGAGGAATGCTGCCTATGACCCCAAGAACACCATCCCCACCGTCAAACACTGAGGTGGAAACATGCTTTGGGGGTGTTTTACTGCTAAGGGGACAGGACAACTTCACCGCATCAAAGGGACGATGGACGGGGCCATGTACCGTCAAATCTTGGGTGAGAACCTCCTTCCCTCAGCCAGGGCATTGAAAATGGGTCGTGGATGGGTATTCCAGCATGACAATGACCCAAAACACACGGCCAACGCAACAAAGGAGTGGCTCAAGAAGAAGCACATTAAGGTCCTGGAGTGGCCTAGCCAGTCTCCAGACCTTAATCCCATAGAAAATCTGTGGAGGGATCTTAAGGTTCGAGTTGTCAAACGTCAGCCTCGAAACCTTAATGACTAACTACAAGAAACGTCTGACCTCTGTGATTGCCAACAAGGGTTTTGCCACCAAGTACTAAGGCATGTTTTGCCCAGAGGGGTCAAATACTTATTTCCCTCATTAAAATGCAAATTAATTTATAACATTTTTGACATGCGTTTTTCTTGATTTTGTTGTTGTTATTCTGTCTCTCACTGTTCAAATAAACCTACCATTAAAATTATAGACTGATCATGTCTTTGTCAGTGGGCAAACGTACAAAATCAGCAGGGGAACAAATACTTTTTTTCCCTCACTGTATTTACAGATGGCATACAAGTTTGTTATTAAGGCACATGATAATTAATATGTTCGAGAAGGCATTTCTGCCAAAAAATGCATTTATATTTTTTTATTTAAGTTTCAGTTCAAACGTCTCTCTTGTGAAGTAGTGTCCCGCGACATACGCCTAGTTTCCTGAAATGGTTCACAAATGAACTGTAACTCAGTAAAATCTTAGACATTGTTGCATGTTGCTTTTTTTGGGGTTCAGTGTGTATATATTCCGGACTCTGACATTGCTGCTCCTAATATTTCTTAATTCCTTTCTTACATTTTTGGGGATTATGTGCGTTTTTTGTTGTTGTTGTATTGCTAGTTATTATTAATGCACTCCTGGCGCTAGAAACCCAAGCATTTCGCTGCACCTGCGATAACATCTGCAAATCTGTGTACGCCACCAGTAAACTTTGGTTTGATTTAGTTTATGATAAATAAATAAAGACTTGGCATTGGTTTTTAATACAGTATAACAGAAGCACATGTTATTATTCCCCACAACTTCCTGACTATGTGACCTGATCAGGAAATACTCCTGGCCCTACTCTCCTCTTTCAAATGTTTTATTTTATTTTTAATTTGTACTTTTTTAATAACTTTTGAGTAATAAATTACTCATGTGGCCTGGGTGTTCTTGTTAGTGTCGCCACTATACCGCACACATAAATACTGTTATCTGTGTGGGTTCGAAAGCAACCCACTGTCTATGTGAGACACTTTCTCCTATCTTTCCCACTTTTCCCCACTCCTTAAAAACAAAACTACTGAGTCATCCTGTAGTGGTGCCCAGGCTGTGCCAGGGTGCCTCCCTTTGACGTCACAACCACTGATGCCACTTGTAAACCAGGCAGGGTTGGTAGCTTGGTTGAGTCAGTGGAACTAGTGAGTCTTGAGGCCATGTTACTAAGGCTAGATTCATTCATAAAAGCATGTTCAGGATGTGATTTTGGAGACAATTCAACCCACTCACCCATAAGAAACGGCTTTGATAACTTGTATAACTGCTTTTATAGCTCTGCATCAAAATGCAGTTAGCATTAAATACTGAGAACGTAATGCTAGTGACAACCTATCAGAAACCATTTACAGATCCACACATGCATAGACATGCATTCACACACACCCTTTCAGACAGACACATACAGGCAGGGAAATCCAATAAAATTCACACCGACAACACGCATCCACTAGGGCTAGTCATTACTGTGTATCTGCCCACACTGTCTGAGAGAGCTAGACATAATAGTGGCTGCTAAGTAATCAGCTTTCACTTAGCCAGCAGTAAAAGGCTTTGGATGATGATCATCTCCAGGTAGAACTCCACATGACATGTAGATGACACGTGTCTTGTGACACATGGAGACGTGATCAGACCTCTTTAGTATGACGGCCAGCGACGGCCACTACGCCTTATTTACACTGTCTGTAATGTAACGGAGATTAACTAGACTCCTGGGGTTAAGAAGGCAGGAGGCTGTAATAGCTTCTCTGGCTATTTATATACTGCTGTTTTTTGATTATATTGTTGCTGTATTGGTTAAGTTATGGATGGTGTTTTGGTTGATATTAAGTTGTTGTTGTGCTGGTGTAGTTGTGGACACCAATGATGTGCTAGGTGTTTTGTTATTGGTTGTTGCTGTGTGGTTAAAATAACTGTTATTTAGGGGGGTTACTGTTATTGTTGCCTATTGCAATGTGGTTCATTGTGTTATTTGGTGATTGTTACCAGGTTAGCTGTTAGCTACTAAAAGAGGAGACAGAGAAACTCATACAGTCATGTGACCACTGTGATGTTGATCAGCAGGAGGTGGCAGGCTAACCTCCCCAAATCCTAACCCCATGGGCAGGCGACTTCTATACCCTAACCAATAAGCACAACAGCCACTCACCCCCTCCGTTCTTCTGACACAGGTAGGGGAACCTCCAGACATTGCCCAGGCCTACAGAGAAGCCCACCTGGGCCAGGATGTACTGCAGCTTGCTGTTCCAGGCTGGCCTCGCTGCGTCATCTTCTGCATCCGAGCCTCTGTCCTCCATGTCCATGTCTCCGTTAAGGTTAAGCTCCTTCCCTTCCCCATCACCTCCGCCGCTACCCACGATGAGCGAGCTCTTCTTAAAGGAATCATCACACGTGTCCTCATTGGATAGCAGGTCTTTGACGGACTCTGTGACTTCATCGTCAAGCTCTCTCTTGACGGCCTTGCTGTTTTTGGGCATTTGATAAAGCAGACCAGGGCGAGGGGCGGAATGTCTTTGGGCTAGTAGCGGGAGTGGTGTGGGGGCAGTGCAGTTCTGGTAGTTATTCTGAGTTCAGGGTACTGTCTGTACAAGGCAAGGGCTTAGAGTTGGTCTGTCAGGGGTTGGATAAAGTATCTGTCTTGGAGGTGTGTGATGGAGGGTTGAGAAGGAGTTGTTTATTTCTTCATTATCACAAAATGCCTGAGGGGAAAGAAATCCAAAAACAAAATTACTTAGGGTACAATATAAATCTTCAAAATGCAATATTAATTACTTCAGGGAAAACAGCATGGGGGTGTATGATTCATGGGGATGCAATAACTGTTAGATGTTTAGATGTGTAAAAAAACCAAGTTTCCATTCCTCTTTTCAACTAAACCACAACTAGTTCTATTAATGTAATTTCCTTCCTATACACAGTCTGTGATCACACTTGATTAGAATAGAATCACCCCTCATACTTCATCAGCCAGACATTGTAGTCTGGATGGTCTCCAACCTGTTGTGTGTGCATGTTAGAAAACTTGCCTTGGGCAATTGTTGAGGACAAGGAATGATAACATAAATGCAAGGACATTCTTTGTGTTCCTGTTTTTAATTAACTGAATATCTTAGAATAATCAATTTCTCACAAGGAAATCCTCATATGACAAATGTGACCAAAATCTATGGATGTGCCATTGTCTATTTATTGTTTACTTTTACCCAAACATGGAATGGACTTTTGCTATGACAGGTCTGATATCGAGACGATCAGGTATCCACGCATCTAAATAATTGAACCCCAACGCTGAGCACGAGGCAATTTGCATACCAACCCAAACACGCATTGTCCTCGCAGCTCAACAAAATCAACAAACGAAAAATGTAATAAAAAAGACCCAGAATATAGCACTTAATGTATTAGTATAATAGTTGTGATGTGATCATGCTTCGGACGATAGTTTTTTAAATCCCCATTGTGCACAAAAGAAACCCCCCAAAAACCCGAAATTATAGAATGTTGCAATGGTGCAGACTATAGCCGTCTATCTATCGCTTTTGACCGACCCGTGGTTTAAGTGATTAAATGATTTCCTTTGACCACTTCCAGATTAGATTTGTTCATTTACTACGTATGGGCTTAATTTCATCCGCAAATAAACGTTAATGGTAATAAACGTACATTTTAGGGTGTAGGTGGAGTAGTAAGCTAGGCTGTAGCCTGTATACAGAACGATTGTCTTGATAATAACATTTGACTACTGTATTAAATGTGCATGTGCATTTCCATCTATGATGAAATAAGAAATCGTTCCATGTTCGTATTGAATACGTCGCTGTATGGCATATTCCACTATAAAGTGCTAAATTAGGCTATTAAAAAGGCTAGACATGCATGCGTATGTGAATACATAAATGCATGATTAAATACATAGGCTACATGTCGAAAAAGCAATGGATCCGATGAATACCTGGCGCCATGTTATTTATTCAAGAGACAATTTGTTCTAGGAATGAACATAAATTAATGCCTCCCTCCCCGCCCAGCCGCATCTCCTCTGTAGTGCCATCCATGTGCGGTATTTCATCATACTGCCCACATCCTGCGCACTGCCACAGTATTCTATTCAGCCCAACACATATATTTCCTCTAAATTATTTTTACCTTTAGTATAGATTCGTCTTCTGTAAAATTGGGATGTTGGTCTTTTTCGGAATGAAGCGTCTCAAGGAATGAAATTGTGACAGAAGCACATGCACGGGGCAGACATCATCACTCGTGTTGCGTCTCTGGTCCTGTATCGCCGGTGTGGTTTTGTGTGAAACAGACTCAAGTGCCTCGCCTCGTCTGCGTTTTAGCAATAGGCTACAGGCAGCGCGGTAATAGGGGTGTTCGGCTTCTCTCTTTGTCAATATTTGATCCAAATGCCCATTCTTTTTTGCTCAATTTATCTCTCTACATATTTAGGTCGATTTAAAATGGTAAAACTCTCGTGAATGTGCACGGTAAGCTAAATACTTGTTTAAAAAAAAGTATAATCTCCCCTATTTGTACTTGGTATGCTCTACTACGACTAACCCCTATTATTACGCTGAACAAAAAAATATAAACACAACATGTAGTGTTGGTCTCATGTTTCATGAGCTGAAATAAAATATCCCATTAATATTCCATATGCATAAAAAGGTTATTTCACTCAATGTTTTTGAAATATTTGTTTACATCCCTGTTAGTGAGCATGTCTCCTTTGCCAAGATAATCCATCCACCTGATAGTGATCATTACACCTTGTGCTGGGGACAATAAAAGGCCACTCTAAAATGTGTAGTTTTGTCACACAACACAATGCCACAGATGTCTCAAGTTTTGAGGGAGCGTGCAATTGGCATGCTGACTGCAGGAATGTCCACCAGAGTTGTTGCCAGAGAATTTAATGTTCATTTCTTTACCATAAGCCACCTCTAATGTCGTTTTAGAGAATTTGGCACTACGTCCATGTCACGGATTCTGCCGAGGCTGCTCCTCCTCCTTGCTCGGGCAGGCTTCGGCGTTCGTCGTCCCCGGAGTACTAGCTACTGCCGATCGATGTTTTCGGTGTTTGTCTTGTGTTGTCTAGTTTATACACCTGTTGCTTATTAGTGTTGATTGTGTAGCATATAAGTTCCCTTGTTTTACGTTTGGCCTTTGTGTGTTATTGTGTATTGTCTCGTTGATGTTCGGCATAGCTATTTCGCCTCATTACGCACAGGGTGTTTTTCCCCTCCAGTGTTTTGGAGACTTTTGATTGTGCGTTTGCATTCAGTAAAGTAGTCATCCTGATTCTCTGTGTCCTGCGTCTGACTTCACTTGCCGCGTACACATCACCCTTTTGACAGTCCAACAGGCCTCACAACCGCAGACCCTGTGTATGCAAAGCTGTCATCAAGGCAAAGGGTGGCTACTTTGAAGAATCTTAAATATAAAATATATTTTGATTTGTTTAACACTTTTTTGGTTACTACATGATTCCATATGTGTTATTTCATAGTTTTGATGTCTTCACTATTATTCTACAATGTAGAAAATAGTAAAAAAAAATAAAGAAAAACCCTTGAATGAGTAGGTGTGTCCAAACTTTTTACTGGTACTGTAATGATGTTTTTTGTGTGATTTGCCTTATTAATGTGTTTGGACCCCAGGAAGTGTAGCAGCTAAAGGGGATCCCTAAAATACAAATACAAACCCTCATGGATATTACAGCTAGTCTACCTTATTAATCCATTTTAGTGATTGCTTGTGCGTAAATCCTACATATCAGTGTGTTGAGCCTGGTAGCAGGACCCAAGGCTGCCCTCCCTGCCTCCCTCCTAGTCTCCTTCCCATCGTCCTTGTCCACATGAAGCCTCAGCACCTGCTCTGATGACCTTGCACTGTCAGGTGCCTCAAGGACATACAATAGCTCTCTCTCACAGTAGCTGTCATGTGCACTCTGAAACAGGCAGGGTGCTGTGTGTGTGTGTGTGTGTGTGTGTGTCTGTCTGTGTCTGTGAGAGAGAGAGAGAGAGAGAGAGAGAGAGAGAGAGAGAGAGAGAGAGAGAGAGAGAGAGAGAGAGAGAGAGAGAGAGAGAGAGAGAGAGAGAGAGAGAGAGAGAGAGAGAGAGAGGCTGAGTTTGTGTGTACTGTATATTTAACTGGATTATAGTGAACTAGAGAATGAGTTAGATTGTGCTTGTGTTTATTTATTTCTCAAACATCTTTTTCATTTCAACATTCTCTATTGTTATACTCCTTCCTTTATTACTCAGCTTGTGGTACAAGGTTTAGTTCATGCTCACAGTGCATTGTGCCCCTATCTCCTTCTGCCACAATTTGACTTGCCTGTCTGAATAAATGACCAAGCAGTGTACACACAAGCACACACACACCCCCCACACACACACAGTCTCCCGCCCCTCTGTTGGAGCCCAGCGACTGCAGCCTAAGCAGACAGCCTTATTGATTGTTCCTAATAGAGTTTGTGTGATATGTAGGGCAGACTCCTGTTCACAGCATCCACTGAGTTAGCAAGTGAAGGTCCTGCAGGCTCACAAGCTGTTTGATAGAACTCAGTATCCATGTACAATTGTCTCTACAAGAGACCAAGATAGGGATATATTTGACTCCATTCGCTTTGGTTATTGTCATGGTTAAGGTCAATCATATATTAGAACTTTGTCAATTCAGAAAGCTCATGATTGAAAAATGTATAAATCATGTTTCAATTCATCTCCTCAATTGACCCCTAACCTGAAGCTCTGTAACTGCTCTACTCTTTGTTAGTGTTTGAGTTCATAAGAGTAGCGTATCTTTAGGCAAGAGAGTCAGTGTAGTGTCAGCTGTCTGTCTGTCTGTTTGAGAGGAACCCTACATGTCATTCTGAGGGTCATATTTTCATAACAGTGAGATTTGATAACCACACATCGACACAAACAGACACAAGTTATGTCAGATATGTCAAAGGCGCACCATTCTTGGAAGTTGGAATTGTTTGGGTTTGTGTGTGTGTGTGTGAGTGTGCATGTGTGCATGCGTGTGAGTGTGTGTGTGTGTGTGTGTGCTTCTGGCAGATTGTTATGGTACTGACTGAAGAAATGACCCTTTGTTCTTGGAATAGGATGGTGACTTCACTCATTAGACATCCCCAGAACCACTATGATGTCAGCTAGTAGTAAAATGACAACAGTGGTAGTGCCTAAAGGGATCTTTGAGGACAAGGTAATGATGACATCGTAAATGGTCACATAGAGTCATCTGAGGGTAGGGGGTGAGGGGGTGACAGTATACACACTGTAAAACTTTCCCCTGTACATTTACACCATTATACTGGCAGCAGAGTTGTAAATGTAAACGCAAAATGTAAAGTGTTGGTCCCATGTTTCATGAACTGAAATAAAATATCCCAGTAATTTTCCATACGCACAAAAAGCTTATTTCTCTAACATTTTGTGCACACATTTGTTTACATCCCTGTTAGTGA